GTTTGATCGCCTCAATGATATATCACGTTCCCAGGAGATTGCGTTTTAATAACCGACTTTTTTCCACCTGTTAATTTCCCACTAACGACACAGCATCTTCGACGCGTCTCTTTCTACGAAAAACATTAGTTTCCCGCCGTCCATTTAATGGATGCAAAATAAATCGTTCCAAGCGAGATAATGCTGACTTATCTATTAATCACAATTACACAAAATTATGATCTTTTCTTTTATGTGTCTTCGCAGTGCGCAACGTCGCGTCGGCAGTTTTGTATATAATTGTACAGTTATGCACCGGTCATTTTCCCTTCAATCAGTACTTTTTATCTCATTTGAATATCAATATTATATAAACTATCGAGTATTAATATTTTGTTCAAAACGCTATTTATATTTTCAATATTAGTTCTAATTCGCTTCGGATTTCGAGGTAAATTTTATTTGTAATTTTATATGTCGTGTACTTTTATATTATATCATTTCTTATTTTAATTGATTTTATATTGTATTTTATACTCAAGTCAAAAAATTTTTTTGTATTATACATAAAATTGTATAATTGTAATCTTGAATTTTGTCACAGGTCATCGTGCTTGAACGTGATTTTAAAAGGCAACAGTTACTGATATTATTTCTACAGCAATCATTTCGAATGATAATTATAAAAGTTTGAAGACACGATCAAGTTGTAATATTAATAGATGCAAATAAATTGGATGTAGCGTTTTCGAGACACGTGTTAGTCTTTTCTTTGAAATGAAATCTAGTCGCATACTCTGAAAAATCGAGGAAGCAATTTAACGAATATCTTCACTTTTACTCGCATCGCGATGGTGTTCTGTACTGTGTGGTCCACGACCGACACGGATTATCACACACGCTTCGATAAAGTGAAGTGTAGCTCTACAGGAGATACATCTGGTAGGGATAAAGGCTATATAAGAGAACGCACGTCTGATTCGGTTTTATAGTAGAGCTAAAGTCCTTTGTGTCGTGTCTGTATTTTTTTTTAATATATTTTAAACATGGTAAGTATGGCCCCGTTATGTTGATGTTTCCACTTCAATACTTTAGTGGGATAATGCCGCACATTATATAACTGTCGTGGGAAAGAAGTGCATAACTTCGCTGTCAAAGAGGAGAGAAGAGAGTTTTATAACAGAGTTTCATATCGATTTCGTAAAAGGACAAATAAAAATGTTGCGCGAAGGATTCGCTGTCAGAGAAATGTATGAAACCCGCCAGTTCTTTTTGTACAACAAAATAAAACAAAAAGTTATCTCCGCTGTCGGTAATACGTTCCACTAAATTTAAAAATATCTGGAGTAATATTTCAAAGTTTCGTTATATAAATTTCTAAAAGCGCGTAGCTCTTTCCTGGTACGCGACACACTGTAATGCATGCCTGAAAATTCGTCTAGAGATAATAAAAAAAAGAGGAGAAATGTACATGTATGTATGTGGCGATACACGTGCTCGAGGGAGGGAGCAGCCCCGCCCGTGGCGGGACAACACAATCTATATAAGAGTGGTCCATGCCGGATGTTTGACCCAGAACTTCGCGTGCAGTGAAAGTGTGCCCGGTGCAAATACGTTTTTGCCGGAAACGATAATGGTGAACGCGCAATATAATTAATTGTTAAAACGCGTGATCGCTAATCGCTTCGCAAACCGATTATCACGCATTGTTTATTAGGGATTATTAATTTTTTCCCCGCTACATCTCTGTCTATATCTACGAATTGATCAATTGATTTTCGCTTTTATAAGCTATTCGTAGTTGCATGATAAATTTAACAAAAAGATTTCTTAAGTAGTTAACCTCGTGAATTTTAATGAATCATACTGCAATTTATTGAGTCCAACTTTCAACATAATTTGATACGACCGGTGTTTTTTCTTCTAAATATTCGTTTAAATATAATGATATATTTCTCTTCTGTATGCATCAAGAAAGCAATTAATTTTTTATTTACACAGCACATGCCAATCAAGTCATTTATATTTCATATTTGAAAGTCATTAGTCAATTTTATACTTGAAGCTTATAGATTATTGCAGGTTTATGCACAATCGGGTGACGAATTAAGAAAAAAAAAGGAAAATGAAAGAGCTTGGTAAACAGATGATTGACAGTAATTTTAACTTTCTCTCTCGATTACAGAAAGTCTATTTAATATTGGGTCTGCTGGTAGCAGCGACGTGTGCCGAGAAGAAAATTAATTTAGAAGATATAGAGAGAGATAATCTGAGGGCGGAGGGTAAGACCAAGCCCGAAAGCATCCAGACTGATGAGACGAAATATATCGCCAAGCCCAATCAGCAGCAGTATCAAATACCAAGCCAATATAATACTTTGAGTCATCCCGAACTGTACGCCCCACCTCAGCAACTTCAGGATATAAAATATAGCGTAAGATATTAATCAAAGGGCCTATTCTGTTAACGATATCATTATGTGCTTTGCGCAGCTTTTAACGACGTTGTTAACGTTCACAGAATAGGCCTCTAAATGCCGTGATGCGGAATTTTAAGAACTTTTACTTTCTCTTAATCACGTTTCTACATCGACATAAAAATTATAATATAGAAATTATTATAATAGAGCAGTTTTATAACATACTATCGTACAGTATATGTGTGCGTGCGATATGTAGAAGACAAATAATATTAAAGAGGAAAAGAGTTACACAACTGTAAAATAATGATGTGTATTTAATTCTATATCTGTCATATAAAATGATGCTGTCATCGTTCATTAACTCTTGCATCTTCTCTGTTCCGTTATCGTTAGCAGGTGCCACCTGAAGAATACGTTCAACCCAATCAATATGCTGTACACGAAGCACAATACAAGCAACCAAGCCAAATTTTGCCACAGCAAAATATTCCGCCGGTACAATATTACAGCGGATATCAACAGCAAGTGGAAATACCAGCTAAAGGCATTGCTCCTATCGCCTTCGAACACCAGAAATTAAATTACCAACCGGAAATAGCAGTGGGCAATCACATTCAAAGTGTTCAACAGAAAGCAGTCACGGAAAAGTACACGAAAACTGTCAATAAAGGTAAAGAGCGCGGACATGAAACGTTTCTAGCATAATGTACTACTATTGTCTAAATTTATATTCAAATATTCTAAATAATAATATTTATATAAAAATTATAAATTAACAATGCAATGAAAAAATTGCTTCACTTAAACATTTAGAAAAAAAGTAATAAATGTTTGGAAGTTTGTCTTGTAAGTCAAGAAAGAGGAAGAAGAAGGATAAAATCGCTCAATAGAAATAAAATATTTGAATACTTATTGGAAAACGATACCAAATATTTAATTAAGTGTCTTTACTTTGCAGAACCTCTTTACATCGATGTTCCAGTGACACAATTGCTTCCCTATTATCCCTATTTAGATAATAATCCTTTGGTGGGTCTGAAAGGAGTTGGACTGGCCCAACCTCCGCTACAACTGGCTGCCAATGCGGCTCAACAAATTCCCTTGCCCCTGTACGCCCCCATATATAATCAAAATCAATTAATCCCTCCTGTAAAATCACCTTACGTCGGGCCAGTAGCGTTTACGACCAAGGTAAGATTAATTTGCGCGAATGCAATTTTCCTAAGTAAATTTTTGTGCAAATGGCTATTCAGCAACAATGTCACAATATCGCGATTAAGAGAGAAAACGACTTTCTTCCTGCATAGTAAACAGATTCGTGAATATTTTAGCATCGATTTAAACCGGTCGCACATTAGCTTCTCGATTCCGTCTCATTCGTCATACGATCCTGAATATTTCAGACGCCGAAGGGATCGACTTATGCAATCCCAGGTATACCGAAAAAGAAGATCAGCCCTTTGTACGTGCAACCCCAGCAGCCGCTAGCTCAAGGAAAGACCCTGTTGCACACGCAAGCTTACATCGCGCCTTCGCATCCGCAGTATGTGCAGCAATTAGTTTACACGCAGCCTGGCTTAGTTTACAGCGATCCCGCTGCTGCTTACAGTGATTTTTACGCTCGTCTACCAGCCTACATTCAGGATAACTACCTTCGCGGACAAGTGAATCAATATCAGACGCAGCAACAGTTGTACGTCGCGCCGCCAACTGGCCACGAAGCGCCGAAGGAAGTCTTGCAGGAGCAGATCAGCCAGGACCAGCCACAGAATTATATCAAGGTGGGTAATAGACCGAAATACACTTCAGTGTCATAACTGATATTTCACTCAGCGTGATTTATAGCTTGCGTGACTACGTTACATTTATCAGAAATCGGTGTTTTGTAATGGAAATGACAGCTTTACATAACTGTCGCTTTACTCGCCGGGGTTATAATTAGAGGTTTAAATTGGTATCGTTAACGGAGTGACATCGCTATCTAATTAGCATAGTTTAATTACTTCTTTCACCTTACGCTACTATAAATCGTTTACGACAATTGTTTTCCATTAACTCTATTATTTTACACATTAAAACATATGATACTTTTTATAAAATAATTTAGTATATGTTTTGCGAAAATAATTTTAAATTAATGTACATTTTATGAAAACGAAATGAAATACATCGTAAATAATATAATAAAATCATCCTGGCTTACGAGCAACAAGACAAATATTGCACGCTCTACTTTTCTTTTTCCTTCTGTTTTATTGAGATATTTGTGTGTATCGAAATAAGAATAATAAAGAACCTTGTGAAATCTTTTTTTTCCGAAGAAATAAGGACTAAAGAGCCGTGACAGGATGTTAGTGTCTAAATATTTCTTGTTTTAAAGAATCTTTTTTTATTTATTTATTGTAAATCTATATTGCCATATTCTGTGGAATTGCTTAGAACTCTCTTTTAATCGTCTCAATTCACGCACCACAGAAATTGTAACTTTGTTATATTTTCAAGCAGGTGCCTGATGAGCCCAAAACTCATTTCGTACCGCCGCAATTCCCTCCGTATGACTTCAAAGCCGGTAGTACGCAACTGGAAGCTGTTCGGAGCTCCTTTGAAGACGAGCAGGCTCCGCCGGTGCAAGATCATTCCTTGCCCTCGGAGCCAAGGTCGTTACTTGACACGTACATTCCAAGCCAAGTCATTGCTGCGCAGGACAGTGCCAGGTATGTAGCATGAATAATAAGAATGCCAGAGTACCAGAGTACCTCATTACTGCAATTGCCTGCCGTAACTATATCCTTTCAGGTACAAAGAACGACCGATACAGCTGGAAGGGGGCTTCCTCCCGTCGAAAGCGAACTTCGCGCTTAAGAAGCGCAAGTCCGAGTGACGAGAATCGCCGTGAGTGGCATGACGATTGTCGTAGACACAAGGGGTCAGTACACTTTGGAAATGATTACTAGCGATCATACGAGGACCCAGGCATATGCGGACATCGAGGATGTGTCGTCTGAACAGAGGTCAGCGGCGTCATCGCATCTAGTCTTTCATTGCAGATCATACAAAAGCTTTTTATACTGTTCTCTTTTACATTTGTGAAGACGTGTCCAGTAAACGGCAAATACTTTGTTTACAATTTTTCAATAAAGTTTAAAATAAAAAAACACAGTTGGTCGTACCTCTCCTTCAACTTGTAAAATAAGAATACAGAAATGCATATATAGGATTTATTAATTATGTATGTATTCTGTTAATTATAATAATATAATCTCACATAAAACTATTCTTTTTATTTGAAAGTTATTATTTTGTACGTTACCTTGTGTAAATTATTTCGGATGCGTACAACTGAAAATTCGAATAAACGTAAATTTGCATAGCAATGTGTGAGATGTTTCCGGTATTATTCACTTGTGAGTAATATTTCTTCTAACAAATGTTTCTAAATTATAGATTATTAATGATCAAGATACTCTTCAATATTAAAAAAATTTTATATTTGACATTTTTTAGTTCAGGTATCAAATACTTCTATATTTTATTTATTAAATAAATATCTAATACATTTAATAATCAGACAATTAAATCCATTAACATTATGAAACTATTTTTTGTAATACAATTATTAATAACCCCGTAACAAAACAGGCATACATAATTTTTGCTGAAAAATCTATAATAATAAATCAAAAATGTTTCAAATACAATGTATTTTGTTGGTCCACCGTCTAAACTTTAATATGCACAATTGAAAAATGTAATAGAATTTAATTTTGTGTTTCTAAGATACAATAAAGAAACTTGGTTAATTTTTAAATGATGTATGCTTTCTTCCCCTTACGTATTTTCATTGATTTCAATTTCTATTGTACTAACACTATAATAAACTAGCAAAGTATATTGCGTTATGTTTATTCTTTCCGTTCATCATTATAGATATTTAAATACATGGAAAATTAAGTGCTGCTCTTTTTAATGCGCGGGACTGATTATAATCTTCTGTCTTAATGTTCTAATCTCTTCTTGAAATAATATTTAAATTTTGCAACATAAAATTATTAAACAAATACATAAAAATGTAAAACATTTACGGAGTCTCTAGTGATAATACATAACGTATCAAAGGAATCTCGATATTAGGATGGTAAATTGATGGAGCGTTTCAATTGCGCGATAGAAAATATTTATCTTCTGCCATTAATAGGTGACAAGGCCACGCTTGTTGGCTTCTTTCTAAAGAGGGATAATATATGTTACCTATTATACGATGTTATTACGAGACGTGTATGATTTGCAATGACTATGAAAATTTTATTAATTCGCCGCATCGAGTACGCGGACACAACAAAGTTATTTATCGTCGTGTCTAATAAGCTCGTCCGGGATTAGCTCTGACAGTTAATGACAGTATTTATGGCAGTTTACGATGTAAATTTAGACAAACTGCGTTGACACCGAAAAGTAGATTCAACTGATGAAGGTACATCTAATATTAAGAAACATACGTATGCAAGTATTTACGCGAGCGCGATGTATCATCGGAGAGAATATCCGCACGAGAAAGCTGACGCTACGAGGATGAGCCCAGCGGTGTAGGCGCGCAAAATTAATCACTTGAAATTCTGGCTACTACTTTGTTATTAATGTCATCGTGCACGGGACACTTTCTTTTACCGCAAATGTATAATTTACCAGAATCTTCCGCTGATATTCCGCGATATATTCAAACGAAAGTGGAAGCGACACGCCGTATGCATTTCGTAAATCATGTCTTCGGACTTATTACAATACATTCTTGTGAATGACACGTGATGAATGGATTTTTCATAAATTGCTAAAATCTATCTTATGTTACGAATTTCAGATTGGCAATGTGTTGTATCAAACGACGCGCACCATTTCGTTCCTCGATATCCTGCTGCATTCTAATGCAAAAAGCTCCCCTGCTAATCCGGGTTATAACGATGTTTATTTGCGTAATGCAAAGAGAGTAAAGAAGTTTGCGCGATCGGTGCATCGATTTGTCAGACGTCGTTACGCTACTGGCAGATGTCTTCCCGTATCGAACGCGAATAGCGTTCGTCTCACTGTGGTGAAACTATAATGATGGTGTCCTTCTCACACCAGAAGCGAGGGCATATAAGGTGGGATGTTCCGGCCTCAGCTTCATCAGTACCAAACACACACGACAAGTCCGCCAAGCTAGCAGGTTTAAGGTCGGCTGTCATGAGTTTCGCTAGGATCTACGTGAGTAATCGAGTCAAACTTAATGTATTTAGAGCCTTCTCTTTCCCCAAATTCCTGTACCATCTTATTAAGTGGTGGCACAATTAATATTCATTACATTATAACGTACTGTATATCCTTTAATTGTATTACGAATTGTCCAAAATTATATTTGCTAGAAATATCCTTCACATATCGGTTTGTCATTCTTGTTATAACTTATAAAGTTGTTAATTAAAATTTACTTTTGGTTTTCTGTGAGTTATCAATGTTACATTTCTTACATAGTGACGTGTTACATTTTCTTGAATTTAACATCTCGCTGTGCAAAAATATGTTAAGAAAATATATCTTTGTAATAACACATTTTTTCGCTGTATTCCCCTTCCTTAATTATTTCTTTTTATTCCTTTGTATCTGTATAACAACACCATTGAAATGAAAATAACAATTTTCGCACTACATGTTAGTATTCTCCACTAACGATCCTAAAATAACGTTTCTTTATCATTTTAATAATAAAACTGCAAATTGTGCTAAACGTTACCGACACAATTACACATAATTGCGAAGCTAACAACCGCATGCTGACTTCAGTACAAATAATATATTATTGACAGGAAATGACCGTGCGTGGAAATTCGCTGTTGTAGATGTTCAATCTAAATTTAATAATCTGCTGAAGTTTTAATGCCGAAAATCCGTGGAAAATATTTGGACGAAAACACGTCACTCGTGAAAGATTTTTCGCAACATTTCCAAAAAATCTTTTTTCTCTCGATCGAACAAACGCTTCCTGGACTCGACCGGACGTAATTGCGGTGAAAGTGCCGTGTATTTTTCTCCCGATCGCCCGGTCCATACATGAAGAGGCGGTGGTAAAGTCAGCCACGGCAGATGCTCTTGAGCAAGCCAGTGAAAGTTCGCGAGGAGGATGAGCCACGCATCTCATCTCGCGATTCGCCGCGGCAAGCAATCCCAAACGCACTTTTCGGCATTAGGTAACACTGCGATTTCGCACCGACGGCGACGTAACGTGGACATCCGGCGAGATACGCGTGAAATTTGACGTCTCTTCAATTGCGACACGCCGCTCGCGTTTTTACATCTCCGTCGCCACCAATTCCGAGTTGATTGACGAGTTGACGAACGGCCGCGGTCGGTCACTTCGACGCGCTCTATGCGCATCTATTTTCATCGCGTGTCGCGCGCTGAATATTTATTGGATCATTAATGTCAGAATTGTAATTTGGGAGCAGTTGGCATGGTTGCTTCAGAAAAATGGAAAAAAAATCTGATCGATTAGATAAATATACATGTACCGCTGTTTAAAGACAGACATGATTTATACACATACGGTTCTGAAAGATTTTAATGCTGTACATCATATAAATTATTTACATTTTATTTGCAATTATTTGAGTTTTATATTTAATTCCAATTTAATTTTCACTTTCGCATTCTTAACTTCTGTATATTTAAAAAAAAATGTTTTAATTAATTTCCTAATTTCTCTCAATTTCTCCAAATCACTTTTACGCAGCTTTATAAAGTGAGAATAATTTAATCCACGATTCCTCTATTAACATAATTTTAATTAACATTTCGATATAAGTGCTTAAACAATTTAAAATGTGACCCAGTTCTTAAAGTCATTAATAAATTCTTATCGATACGATTTATAACAGTTCGAACTTTTATTACTCAACTGGAAAGCAATATTTTCATCCATCGTTACCTGTAGATTGCGACGTTGACGTTTAAAGAAAGCGGTGAAAATCGCAAGTGCGCAACGAATGAAACCCGTTTTAACGATGTTGACCGACACACTTGACTCTGACCCTACAGGAATATCTCCCCATATCTTCAGCTCTACTTCCCTCTTAGATCGCAATTGTGCGCTCGTTATTTTCGTAATTACATATAACCGGATTATCGTCCCGAAGATACTTTCGTAGAACATGAACATTATGTCTGATTAATGTATCCTTTTGGAAACGTATCTTATCATAAAGGACATTCAAACCGGTGTAACTTAACCGGCATATTTCTTCGGGACGCTCCTAGTACACGTTCGCCGAATATGGGAAGGGAAGTGAAAGTGAGATCGCCATTGCCGTAGATCGATGGCCAACACATTGTTACATCTGGCGCGATTTCTTACACGTGTCCCTGACTTTCAGATCGCCGCATTCCTACTGATATACGGGCTCTGCAATGCGGAGACTACCGGAAGCAGAGAGACCAAGGTGAACGACTCGGACAGCATTGACCGTTTCGTTGCCGATGATGCTTGGGACGTCGAGAGGGGGAGAGAGGGGGAGAAGGAACCACGGGAAAACGCCCAAGAGATCCTACCGATCCTACCTCCGATAATACTTCTGGACTTCGATAACAGCACGGTCGACGATAACGCGACCGATGAGAAGTCGAAGCGCACCGTGAATAACGGGCTCGGTTACGGCTTCGACCGGAATTCCCTGCATAATCCGCGAAAGTACAATTACTACTTTCCCGCAGGAAAGACTGGAACCACCGTGAGCATAGAGGAATCCATCAGCCCGTTTCTTCCGAGGACCATAATAGAAAAAATACCACCGGGCAATCACAAATCGGTTTCCGACTCGTTCGCGGACTTTGAACGTACCCGCGGCTCGGTAGCCTCGAGCTACCAATATCATTACAATCCCACGACGAAGTCACCGCCGATATTTGGACAGCGAACAAAGTTGACGAAGACGTCTGACTCCGAGCCTTATCAAGGTTTCGTGCCGATTGCGAGACCCGTCGACGCGTATTCAAACGTAGACTATCAGGACGGCGCGTACGCGTCCACAACGCCGCAACCTTTGGCGTTCGGTTCCGCGGAGACAGCAACGGAGACGGGTTACGCCACTCCGAGTTCGCAGAGTTACACAGCCTCCAGTTCGAGTCGGTACACATACGTCACTCCGAGTTCGCCGTCGTACGTCCAAAGATATCTGGGACAGAGTTCTCAGCACGCGATAAACGTGCAGGATAGGCCGAAACAAAGCGCAGCAAAATCGTCGACGTCCAGTCCCCCCGAAGCCGCTGCTCTCCTGGGGCAACTGAATCCTCACAATTACCAGGCTCGGCCAGGCTTGAGCACGGCGGAATCGTCGACTGCCCGACCCGACGACGTGTCCAGCTATCCGGAGAACGCTGGGCCATTCCCCGGTCTACCCCGATATACAGTGGAAAACGGTGTCAGATACGAGAACAAGATATTTTGGAAGTATCCAGACGGTAGAGTGTCCGACGTGCCGCCTAAGACGTACGAGACTTACTCCGAGTACCCGTCGTTGGCGGCGTTACGGGCCGCCAAGACCCAGGACGCATCGCAGATCTACGAGTCCGCCTCCACGGAGAACAGCGTGATGTCGCAGGGCCCGGTGCAATTCCCAATCGCGCCGGAACCCACCGGTTCACGGACTCCGTTCATCTCGGCGAGTTCCCTGTCCCGCCTGCAACAGCAGCAGCAAGCGTTTCGGCAGGGCTATCAGAACTTTATCGGCCAGAAGCAGGCAGTTTCGCAGCAGGCCAAGGCCGGCAGCGGGGTCTCGCCCACGTATTCGGTCCCTTCGACAACCCTCTCGCCGTTAAGGGACTCTCTCCAGTCGATTGGAAAAGTTCCGAAAAGTCGGTACGAAACGTTGAGGCGTCCGGTCTCGAAGTACATGGTGAACAGTCCGAATGCGGAATACATTGACAACATGGAGAAGATTGCGAGACCCACCAAGCTCTTCACTCAATCTGGTAAAGCTAACACTTAATGATTTAAAGATATACGTGTGTGCACGACTACTTGAGAATTATATTTTTTGCAGGTGGCGGCAACTCGGGCAAAAAGATTAACGCGGCAGGAGGCAAGAATCTGGATAGCTACACGAATCTGCAATATTCGGACTTGCTGAACTACAATCCATCTATCTCGCAGTACATCAAGAATCCCGCATCCATCCTTAACGTGCAGCCAACCTTCGTGCAAGCTGGGAGCTCTCTGATACCAGTGATCATTCTAAGAGTGGACGGCGTACCGCCCATACAACCCAAGGCCATGCCGAACGTGAATTTGAAAGCCCTGCTGCAGCAATATCTCGTTCAATACGCCAAAAGTATCGAGGAATTGGCGCGACAGACAAGCTACGACCTCGGTGACGATCAAGCCCCGAAGGATCAAAGTCCGTTCTCCACGAACCCTCTGCGCGAACTGGCACGATTGGCACCAAACGGCGGAGACTTGGTCGGCAATCCTACGGAATCCTACACCGGCAAATCGAGTTACGAGGCGAGCAACCTGGACGCCGAAAAAGATCTCTCGGGCGGAAAATATGGCGAGCGCACGGCGGTCCGACCGAAAGTGAAGAGCGTGCAGATCATAGAGGATCCAAGGCTCGCGAATCATAGGCTTTAGAACGAAATCACGCGTTTACGATAGAGAGCCGCGGAGACATCCCTTGACTTTTGTGCTCTATGAGAACTCGAATCATTTCGAAATATATTAGATACGCTATAACGTTCAGATCGATATACTTATTTTTAAATGTACCATTAGAAGAAGAACAAAATTTGGGAATTAATAATCTCGGTGTTAATCGACAAAAATGAAAACTTGTAAGATAAATCGCGCGCTTTTACTCGCGTTCAAAGAATATTAAAAATACAACATGTTGCGCAATGTACGATAAGTGAATGGAACACGAAAGTTAAGCCAAAATGATTAAGCAATACGACATTAGCTACCGACTACGACATCAAATCTGGAATACGAAAGTTTCCACGTGGAAAGATATTTTTTTTACATTATTCTTTATCTTTAAGTATTAAATAATTGCAATGTACATTATTTGGCACATTACGATTTGAGAGAATGAAACGCTTCGTGCCATGAACCGATTTAAGAAAACGTCAACGAGATAATAATAATAATAATCGGACGTTAGTGATATGGTAGTATTTATATCGTGGGATTGTGCAATGTATTATAATGCATACAAACGTACCTGTGTGCGCTACTGATTTGCTGAGAACACGCAAAGGTTTTTTTCCCTAATATTAATAAACACTTTTGCCGTTCTCGGAAAAGCAGTAGTAAGCAAAGCACATTTGTTGCTCTGCGAATGTACCTACGAAAAATCAGCCAAATTTCTACACTTCAGAAAGGTACCTTACAAATCATAGTGCTTAAGTCCTATTACTCAATTTAATATGACTACAACTTGTATACCGCATTATTATAACTAATAAGAAACGAATTTTTATACAAATCAGATTTGTATTATTGTGTGCCTCAGTTTTGTACGTAAATTAGTTATTTTTTTTTAAATATAAATCGTTTCGTTGTGTACTCTTTGTCGGCGATAACTTTCGGCAGTTGCATTTTATTTTTTGTTATCCCTAAATATTGGTTAATCTACATAAAATTTTGTGGTATACTTCACTCATAAGATTTTTCCCTTTTAAATGTATGATAATATACTTATTCATTTAAATAAATATAGATGCATGTAAAAGTTATTCGAAAGTAGGAAGCTATATAGTAGTGGTTATATATACTGCTATAGAATTATATATAAACTATAATCAAATTAACCGCTAAGACATAGTTTTCTACTTTGATCTATTTTTAGTTTCATAATGCTCTGTGACTTATTTTCCTCACTCAAAATTGTGAAGTGTAATTTAAAAAATTTCTGGAACAGAATTTTCTGAAATGATTTCAATACAACATTATACAAGTTTTACTTATTTCCAAAAACTTCCCGAACACACGTATTTCCAAAAGACGACTTAAAGACGTTTTAAAGATGTCTTTTAGACATGCGTGCCACACGGGTTACCAATGTGTTCTTTATAACAAATTTTATGGAACATATTATATTAAATTAAAAGTAATCACAGAAGGGGCTCAGAGCATAGACAGAATTTTAGTGTCAATAGAAAGTCTAATTGAAATAGAAAATGAATAGACGTTTTGGTCCTAACTTTTTCACATTTTACATTATCGACTGCGTAATTTCTTGTATTAATTATATTCTATTATCTTCCATGCGCTAATTTATATCCTTTCCTTTATACTAAAGATGGTCCAGTTAGGACCGAAAGGTCTATTCATTTTCTATTTTAATTAAACATTTTTTTACACTATAACTCTGTCTAGGCTCTGAGCCTCTTCTATGATTACTTTGATTTTTATCATACGAACATTGTTGTTTATATTAAATTAAATTAAGTTCCATTTTTGGGCTGGTTAACCATTGAAATGAAATTGTAAAAAGTATTGATGACACAATTATTATTTAATTAATAAAATTTTAATTCAACCATGTTAAATATAGGTATGCAATGTTAAGAATTAAAAATTAGAACAAATTTCTTCCAAGATTATTGCTAGGAAGTATCATTTCCGAATTGGCCGTAGAAGCTGCAGTTATAAGGCAGTTCCAGGATATCCTGTACAACATGTTACATGAACAACGTAGGTATCATCTTGTTACTGGAAAAGGCTGGTAAATGCATGTTAGACTGAAGCTCACTTATTAACTTTTCCCAATAATCATACCACATATATGTGCGTTACATGTGCAAGTAAAGTAAAAGTTTTTGCCTTAACAGAAATTGTTATCGACCCGCGCGCATCGAGCGGCTATCGGGCGCTATTACGCATTTACTCGATACGGACAACGCGTAAATGCGCTTATTTGCGAATGCCGATGTGCGCGCGGGAGAAAAGTACAATAATCCGAAATTATTAATATAAAAGATAACAGCGGCGCGTGCGGGCGTGTCTTGGAGATACACATCGATGTCGACCGGTGCCGTTGAGCCGCAATTAACGCTAATTGTCTGGCAGGCGCGTAAAAAAAAAGAGTCTGGAGTCCGCTCGAGCCATTGTTAATTCCACGTTTTCACAACGGACAGGCTCCGGCGATATCTACGTTGCATCTACGGCAATTGCGGCACGGCAATTAGGCGCGAGGCATTAAACCGCTGAACGCTCGGGCACGAGCGCGAGCGATTCCGCACGCAGGGAGGAGATCGGCTCGTGTTCATTACACACGGACGTGCACCTTCGTTTCCACGGCGCGCATCGGGAGGAGTAGGCGCATCGGGCATAATGCGTGTGTTCTAGAGCGCATAAAACTACAGCGGTAAAAGTACTGACGAGAGAATACTCGGGCACGATCCAGTCGATCGGGAGACGAGAACCGGAGGCTGCAAAGCGCCGGAAGTGTAGTATGCACTTCGGATTGAGTTCTCGCGGTTGCCGGCGAAAAACAAAACGACGCTATTCCCGGGAGAGAAATCCTCGGATCTCTCCTATTATAATCGGCAGCACCTCGCCGATTACAAATAAATATCTCGCGACTGCCCTTCCTCTGCAGTTCACGACGCAATTGGTGTCCCTCGGACAAATTTTTTAATAAAGCGACCCGCAATGTAATTTTGCGAGTTGCACGTCGCGAGCGCGCATCTCTTCGTTTCCGTACAATAGCGATCCCGCTGCTCGAAATTCCATAGTAATGGCCAGCGGCCGCGTCGCATGATACACCGGACAATACTTCAGCAGGCGCACTCGCGTGTCGCAAATGAAAGTCTCCTCTGCGGCTGTGTGGTGTATAAGATAATATTTAGAACGATATTTTTCACTTGGCCGCCGGACTGTATAAAGAAAATCGCGTATCTACTATGTGGCTCAGTTCTCGCGTGGAAGTTCACCACGCGCGTTCCTTGAGATTACCAAGCGAGGATACGGGGACGAATGGTCGTAATCAATGTGTACGCGTAGTACAGTGTGGCGCATGCATCTCCTTTTCGTTTAATGTTTCATCTCTGGAGGAACCTTAAAAAGTCTAACTTGGACGAAAATGATTTTTTATTATGTAAGTACTTGGTCCGGAGTACTTTGTGAAAGTGCGAAGTTTTGGTGCGGTGATGAACGAAATCTGTTATTTGATCTCTGGTGTGGATAAATAGGAAACAGTCGGTATATTAACAATTTGAATATTAAATGCAATGGCGCATTGTTTTTGCAATTTGAGTGAAATTGTCGCTATAATGTGAAATGGTGTGAAATTTTTTTTTAAACATAAATGTAATATATATTTCTCTCTCTCTCTCTCTCTCTCTCTCTCTCTCTCTCTCTCTCTCCATATATACAAAATACACAGAGAAAAGAATACAAAATTATATATCTCTTCATCGCTATTTCTTTCCTTCAAGCAACTTACATTTAATTTTTGCGATTTTTTAATTTAATGTTCATATATTTTATAAATTTTGGCTGTGAAATTATATTATAAAATTTATAGAAATAAATGGGTATTAACAAATTGCTATGAAAAATACGTTGTAACTGTGCATATACCTTTTTCTCTCCACGCATATCTATATATATGTATATTTAATGTATGTAGTATGTTTTTTGTGTTTAATATTTTTTATAAAATAAGAGTAGAATTTTATTTTGCTATAAACTAAGATAAATACGTTTCACATATAAAATACATGTGATAAAGAATACTTTATTTACTTTTATTAACTTTTATTTATGTCTTTACATTATTTAAATATAAAAATATATCGTATTAAATACACAATGCAAGTATATTTTTCTAAATTATTTACATAAAAGTCGTTATCTAAAATCTGCATAAAATTACAAACAATATTATGGTAGAAAGATTGCACTTTTTTCTCGTTTGTGTACTTTCACTTTAATATATTATACATATTGTTTGATACGATAATTAAAAAAATATAATGTATGCAAAATTATGCGAATGCTATAAATGATTAAAAACTTACCGTGCAAATGTTATCTTTAAATGTCTTTGATATAAGATCGACAAGACTGCTTCTAAACAAAAATATGCATATTAACGATGTCATATTTCGATCGACAACTTCGACCGACTTGTTTAACGATAGGCATAAAGAATAGTTTACATTGGCTCTGTTTTCTCCGCAATTACTTTTCACCGACACTCTCTAAACGGATAGGCTATATGTTAGCTGCCCGGATTTCTGCATTTTATGAAAGAAAAATGGTTTCTATGATACAATTACATACATTTCGAGCTTTGAAAATTGTTATTTGCCTTTGAAAATCATTACATTAACAATGACACTAGTATGGGTGCCCGTCATTGTCAAATAGCAACTCGAATGGCCATGAATCAGTGAGAAAGTCCACGAAGATTTGCTTCCGTGCACATCCAGTCCTTATTTCCATTGCACACGCTCGCATTTTACTTTTCCAGTCTGCTTTTCTTTTCTAGGTCATCTCCTTGACGAAACAGCAATTAATACTGCTTACTATCATGTCCAAACTTTGTAATGCATATATGCTACTTTCTTCTTTAGCGAGACTTACGATCAAAACTATATGAGATGTATCTTTCAGATCGCATAATTTTATAATAACTCGATTTCTTCGATGTTCATCACCGATTTATAATGATGATCATATTATAATTATTTTGCACATGCATGCCTTATAATCTTTATTTCTTATCACAAGATCAATACACGTTTTATAAAAATTTTATACAAGACTTTTTGTTGTACTGTCTCAAGTCATATTCTTTCAAATTTATATATGTAAAATAAAATGTATAAAATAAAAATTGTATTAATATATATACATTTAATTTTAAATATCACGTGTTGACATTATTATTTAAATGTATAAACTTGAGGTAATAATATAAAATTCATAACGCTCTGATGTGAAATCACAACAACAATGTTAATCATTGAATAATAATGTTAAGCAGTTGCTTAGTCAAATTACTAATCATTTCAAGCTTCAATTAATAGCTCTCCTCAACTTTCGTAGGTGATATTGCTGTTCCTCAGCTGGCCACAAACGAGATGCACAGAAAAGGCCGACTTGAGAGGTGAAGAGATCTTCGATCAACTTGCAACCGCCTCCGAGAACGTGGTACACGCTCTAAAGCCGAATGAAGTCTCAAAGGACCTTGAAGAGCAGGCCTCGAGGATATCGACGTCGATAGGCGCAACCGTGCGCTATGAAAATTCCAACGGCTTCGTGCCTATGGTACCGTCCGCCTTACCGTCCGTTTCGTACGACCAAGTTGACTCGCCATCGTCACAGACTGATGACCACGAACAGCGGAGGTTTGAAGAGAGCAACGCAACGACTGCCGTAAGTGCTCAAGAAAGCTCTGACGCGAGGGCGAAAAAGTTGGAAGAGGACTTAGCATACTCCTCGGAAGCGAGGATCTTCTTGAGTCTGCCTAGCTCACTGACGAATCGCAGGTCTTTCGATTTGCAGGATGAAAGGCATGAGTTCGAGCTGCTGAAGGTGAACAACGACACCCCCGCGGTGGCCAATTACCAGGAATTTTACGAGAACGTACGCGACACGGTGAACACCGCGACCACCAGCAAGTCCGGCAAACCTTCGAGGCGCCCGAACGGTGAGAGAGGGAAGAGGCTGGAGAACCACACCCGCAATTACGGTTCGCAACAAAGCAACGACGAGGATATTTATGCTCAATTCTATTCGTACAATAACGCCCAGGATACGAAGAAAACTGTTTACGGACAGGAGAAAGTCGCCGGTAATTATCAGCAGCAGAATACCGCGAACTACAACGGGCTGAGCGCGGCCAAACAGAGTGCGGCAGCGATCCCGTCCTCATCAAGGACGAATTACGAGGCCAACGAACTCGCGCATAGCGGAACTTATGGCGATGCGGTGGAATCGCCGAGGACACGCCATAGATTCATGAAGCCGGTCATAGTCGCCGAGCCGAGCAACCACAAAATAGACGTCAAGTTCAGCAGCCAGCTGCGAGACAGCGAGTTCGATAATGAAGACAAAACTTTGAGAAACCTAGAATCTACTAGCTCGGAGGCTTCGAATCACCATGATGCTTACAACAGCAACAACAGGCAGCGTAGTTATCACCGCACGGAGGACTCTAGAGATCTCTCGGACGAGAACACGGATTACTCCGATTACATTGACCGACAAAGACTGAAAGTGCAAAAAAATCGGAGACGCCCTACGTATCCTGACTCTTCCAGAAAACTTCCCAAAGAACATCGTGGCACGTTGAACGAGAGCTCGGAGGAGGGTAAGTATAGCTCTTCAAGACTGAAGTCGCAGAGGCATAGAGTGAAGGCAAACCCGTGGCTCAACGATCCCAGCGTAAATCATCAGGACGAGAGCGGCGAAGATGTTAGACACGACTCTAGGAGCGGCAGCACGAAAACAAAGAGTACCAATGTTCAATATGGATCCAGGTCGAAGAATACCAATACGTGGAATCAGATATCTCCAAATATCGAGATCTCTCATTCCAACGGGATCGAGTTGGATCAGTTGGAGAAGCCGAAATACGTCGTTAATTTGGTGCCCGTGGCGAACTTCGACCACGCGACCGCGTTAGGCGATAGCCAGGGTTTCGACATGTCCAACGCGATGCTGCAGAACCTCGCCACCGTCGCGCCGATCGGTGCTTTCAGCACGACGACGCCTCTCCTGAACACGCCTCAGCCTGTCCTCGCTCAGAATTTTGCGATATCGAAAGACCTGGTTTCCACGCCAGTGCCCGATATCATTGTCGGTCAGAACACATTCCAAAGTCCCGTGCACGCGGTTCTGCTCTCTCATCCGAGCGGCCAAAATAAGATCGCGGATACCCTGAGAGCGACCTACGTTCCGAGTACCATGACACCTGTATTCGCCCTCACGCCCGGCTTAACTCCGGCGCTGCAGAGCGTGAGTGTTCAGGGCGTGCAGAGCAACGTAACGCCACGAACGACCTTTGCCGTGGTGCCGCAGCCGACCATTCAGACGTACCCGAGTTTTCTGCAGACGCCGCTACAGGCAACTCAGATCCAGCTGAATACCCACGGATTGCAGGGTCAGAACTTGATAAATCACAATAACTTGCAGGTACAGAGTCTGCCGACAGCGCCCACGGTGTTATCCAGCCAGACGTTGCCGGAGGGCAGGGCCAACCTAGGGTCTACAGAAGTGCAGAGCAAGAAAAACACGTATCCCACTTCCGGCGCAAACTTCCTCGCTACCGCGAGTTTGGCCGTTGATCAGAATGAACAGAAGCAGACGGCTAACCAGTATTACGTGCAGAATCAGAATCGGCAGCTGATTCCGAATCAACAGCACTTGCAGGAACTGCAAGCTCAAATGAACAGGCAGCTGGCGAAGGGCGGTAGACTGTCCGGCGTTGTGTTGCAAGCCGCTGATAGCACGACTAGTCACTCGACCAATAACTTAAATTTACTCGGAGCAGCATCGGCGAGCGCTCATCTTCCAAATGTAGGCACGAAGACCGTAGAGATTGGGAATCCAAACATTAAACCGAACTTTGTCAACGCGAATGCTTATCAGACGATGCACTATCCGGCTGCTGTTTTGACGACACCCATCCCGATTTTCAGCACAATCGCCCCGGTTACTCCGCAACCCGCAGTTAATCTGCAGAATTACGTGAACTCTCTGACAGAGACCGGAGCCAAGATTAGACAAGTAGATGTTAGACCGTTGCAGCATCAAGAACGACCGGTGTTCAATCCAATCAATTTTGTCCCCAACGTTGACATTATCAAAAATCAGAACGCTCTTAACCACAAGTTGTCGAGCAACGAGCCTATTCAGCAAGGTTTGAATCTGGTGCCCGCTGTGCCCGGCGGAAACTTCTTCAAACCGTTCTCAGGGCAGAACGAGTTGCACATGAAGCCGAAGCTTGCGTCGGACTTGCAGAAATACGCCGAGGAGATGTTCAAGGAATCCCTGAAGACGATGTACAACTCGCAGAAGTGGAACAACGACCGGAGACCGGGAAATATTCCGAATAATTTAGAAGAAAGCGACTTGGCCAAATTGAGACACGAACTGCAAAAGTTAAGGTCTTCTTTGTCGGAATCAAAGTATAGAGATCTTCTCGAGGCGAACCAGAGCGAGAACAACATCCTCACAGCTGACGCGCCCAAACCTTCGGGCGGTAAAAAGAAATTGGACCCGCTGCTAGCGACCTTAGAACATCTGCTGAGGACGCGTCCAGCGGGACCGATACACATTTATCATGGCGAAATGAAACCAGGTCGCAAGCCTAAACCAGGAGATTCGAGCGTCGCTGGGAGCTCCAACTACGACTTCAACGACAACAGGCACTTGGAATTTCTCACGCCACCCAGGCCGGATCCATTCCGCTCGGAAAGTCCTTTCCACGAAAAGCCGATAAAGAAACGGCCAGGACTGAGATACAAGAACGGCCCGAGGAAACTAGCGAGGCCAGGCAATTCGTCGCATAGACCCGTTGGACTAGAAACATCTGCTGCCAATGTGGAAGTGTATCTGGATGGGACGCGTTACCGTAAGCCGCCTATAGATTATGATCCTGAAAACTTGGACTACGATCCTACGACGAGACACCGAACGTCCCACGATTCGACGTTCAAGCCGTTACCGGATGGCTACAGCCAAATCTTAAGGGAGATGAAGAATAACAAGGACTACGACATAAACCATCCCAGGATGCACAATCTTCTTAGTTTATTAATGAAAAACAAACAGTTGCCGAGCAGAGGCGCGCAGAATCATTTTCGCGACAGAGATCAATTAAGGCAGTTCACCGAGAGGGACAGGCGTCGACTGCAGCAGCAGTTTTACGCTGATGCCCTAAGGAATTACATGGACAGATCCGACGTCACGTCGCAGCCCGTTTTGGTCGCCAACGGAAATGTTTATTCGGGGAACGACACCGCGTGAATTTGTAATCAAAAGTACAAGCAAGACGTCGATCGCGCGATGCGTACGCAGGATCGACGCGCGAAATCGTAAATCTGCTCACGAAAAGACTAGAATTAATTAGATAGTACGTTTACCCCGCTCGCGGTAACGGACGATTTCCCGTCCACTTTGCGCATTAACGAATGCAGCATCACGCCAGTATCGAGCTGCGCTGTTCGCACTAAGTGTTTAATTACAGTAAGTAACGTTTTATACGGAAAATGTAAAATCGTTAGTATGACATGCGCTCGCACGGAATGTTCGGTTCGAGGGGAAAGGAAATTCGTCGGTCATCACTGTAAGACGCTGACAAGTATTGTATGTACATATTAAGTTAAACAAGAAATATATATGTCTTGTAATTTGCACGGCGTTTGTCACGCCTGCACTCTACCCTATTTTCTCTTCTCGTTGATTTTCTCTTTTCTCTTTCGCCCATCTGTGCCCAAGGACACGATAAATGGAATTGAAAACTAGATAGACTTTTTCTACACTGAGGAAAAATACATAGCATTTTGTAAGAGGTAAGTCACGTTTTTTATCCAACTAAATAGATATAATTGCATAGATTAGTTAACTTAGATGCATTACTCTTTCATTTATCTTTAATCTACCTATAGTCGTACCGTAATAAATAACGCGTTAATATCTTTTGATAAAATATGTTTTTAAATAGACACGGCAAACGATAATAAATGCATTTATTTCTAATATTTATGCAAAAAAGCTGCTCTAGAAATTGTTGTTTTTAATAAAAATGCAATGAGCATCCAATTTTTACATCAACATTCTGAAGGCGAGATGTTTTCATGGTTGCATTAATATTCATAGCAGTTCTTTTCAAGCTTTCCGTGACAAAATCGGATCAGGATTTTAATCTTTGTTATAAAACTAAACCAATGAAAATGTTTTGATCATCTGGCAGGGACTGTTCTTTTTAAAAACTGAAAAATTATGATCTCTAATGTTATATTTTTATTTATGAATATCGTAATATATATTTATTGAAAGACTGATTAAAAGAATTACCGATTAAAAATATTAAATATTAAATATTTTTAAAGAAAAACCGAGAAAAATTATTTTTATCACACATTTATATTATTACCAATTAAGATTTTAATTCTTGAACATTATCTATGCATAAAAAGTGTTAGGTAATGCAAGAAGAATGTCTCTCACAACTGAAAACAAAATTTGTTTTAATGATTACTAAGTGAATAATTGTTTTAATAATTTAAAATAATAATTTGTAAGTCTTTTATCATAAAGTTTTATCAAAAATTACTAATCTTGTATTCCTATTTTTGAAGAATATTATATTTCACTTTGTATGATCGTAGAAATAATACAAATCAGCAGTATGGCGAAAATATATATAGCTGCATTCTTTCCACTTGGTTAGTATAATAATTCAAGCGTATCCCAGAAGGAAGAGGCGTTCACCTCAGGGTATGTAACAATCATTAGCTTGAAGATTTACTCAATGAAGCCTGTGCACATAAATCCATTGGAGCATTTTTATTGTGCAACAGCCACTTTCTCGAAAAATAACCTGAGAATTAGACAGAAATTAGTTTGGGATCTACGTTAATTCACGAAACTATTATGTTGGATATGCTCGCGCAAGTTTTCTTGGAATAACGGCTAGTAAAGGAAATAATCATTTTTCTGGTAAATGGTACAGTTATTATTGCTTCTACAAGATAGTCAATGGACATTGAAAATATACGTAAATATGTAGAATAATTTTATATAATTATTCCACTTTTATTTAACATTAAATCTGCAGATACTTTATATTATAAATATTTTTTACTGTTATTATTAATTAATTTAATTTTCATGAATTAAATAAACAAGAAATCAAATTTACTCATATTTCCAGTTACTTTATCGCATTTAAGATAATGAGAATCGGTCGTTTAAGAGTCACATTGCATTACAATGTGCATGATGATGATATAAATAACATCACAAAGAAGAGAGAAGTGTAAGTTAATAAAAAGATAGATCAATAGTTATGATTGTGGCTTCACTGATCAGGGAGAAGCGAGGTGATTTGACTCGGTTTTTCTCGATACGCTTTTTACAAAGTTTAGGAAAGTACCCAACCCATTCTGCTGTCTCGCATCAGTAAACGCCGAATATAAAAGATGAGGGAATGTCGGTCGCAGCCAGTTAACGTCAAACTTTGGTTTCTGCTCGTACCGAGCTGTACGAGTATCATGTTGGTACGTGTTTTTACAGTTTCCCAATTATTTTAAATAATCAACGTTTACTGCATGCCGATCGTTTATGTGTATCGTAATATTATAACAACAGTGATTTACTCACAAATGTGATTTGTTTAATCCCTTCGATACGTTGCATTGTGCGATTACATTTATCTTTATTAAATATCTTCTAATTATTATGCATTATCGAACTATGATCACGTCAAAAACGTAAGAAAGTTTCGATTTTTATGAATTAATCAAACGAACATTTTGTACTTCACTTTTTTTTATATGCACTTGGTTTCATCATGCAAGTTGCTATGCAATATAATATTTATATTTTAATATTTTTTTCTGACAAATGTAATCCGATATCTAAAACGCATGTGTGCGCTGAATGACGTTCTAGATCGTCAACATCATTCTCTTTACATCTGGGATATGTTTCGCCACGAACGTCGTGCCTTCGACTCGCGCTTTCGTCACGTCAGCAACGTCTACCAAATCGAAACGCTTAGTCGTAGATCCCGGCCACAATATCCGCAATAATCAGGAGCAGGATACTCAAACTACACCGAGAATCCCGTCGCCTCAGGATATTAACTTGAGATCTTCGCCTCGTTATGGAAACGCCAAGGCAACCGATACTCCGAGAGCGTCTTACAGCAGCAAGAATCACGGGCCTGGTTCCCACGCGTATGGCAGCGTGCCAAAGCGACCGCCTCCCTACGTTTCTTCTCCCGTCCACCAGATCAAGCCCGAGCAGAGTCAAAGCAATTTGCTGGGCCCGTATTTTGGCGTATTGAACAATCCCGACGTGTACAAGACCGCGAGGAGCGTCGAGAAACCGCTAGACACGTCCAAATCGATCGTGTCGCAGTCGCTCCAGAAGCTGCAGGGCATCTACTCGCCTAGCTACAATGCGTTCCATCAGGACAGACCAATTGAATTATCCGGCTTTTCTGACTTCGAGTATCCCTCGTACACCAACATCAATAAGCTTATCTCCCAGAGCGTTTCTTCTTCTCCTACCATACAGGCACCGGTATATAAAATGAGTTATCCTCTAGCGAAAGTTACCGATTACGCCAATGTGTTCGCGCCGAGCATTCCGACGGTGTCAAGCATCACCCCGTCGTCGGACAAAATAACTCAGAGCCTCAAGCAGAAAGATGAAGCTACCGTAGACGTGAACGGTAAGAAGATTTCGGTTCCGATCATTCAACTCCAGAGTAATCTGGACTTCTCGCAAGTTTTGCCCACCTTCGAGAGTCAGCCGTTTCTACTGAGCTCCAACTATCCGGTCGAGCCGGATGTGGGATTTAAGTTTGGAACCGGGCCAAAATTCAACATGGCACTCCAATCAAGCAACGTTTCTCCGTTTTCCTCGCCCCTGTCGAGTTTCCAAGGTCAAGTTGTGCCGATCCAGACGGCCAACGGTAGCCCGCACTTTCCGCTCTTCAAAGGCGCCAGCGTAGAAGCTTATCCCGTTGCGAGTAATGCTCCTAAAGCACCAGGCAATTATGAATCCCTTTACAGTCAACCGCAATTGCACTTTGACAAGGAACGTAATGGCAACGCGCAACCGGTTAATGTGCAACAAAACGCCGCTCATCCTTCTGTTTCAACGCAAGGCATTCTGAATGACGTAGAGCTCATCAATAAGAAAAACCCAGAGCCGCACACACCCCAACCAGATGATGATGATGATGATGAACATAGAGATGACGAAAGTTTGTATTATCTCGTTTAATACTTGTCCAATCGTGATAAATTTGATTAAGTGGGATATTAATTTATAAGACTCAAAAAACTGTTAATTTATCTAAGATTAAAAGTGAAAAAGTATTAGAAAATATCTTATTAGTATCGATCCGCGGACGTTACAATAATAAGCTAGTAAATTTTAGTAAATTTCAACTTAAAATAGTTTTTCAAGTGAATATTTATACTAGGGATGTTATTTCAAGGATACAAAACTCCGGTGAGGGAATACGACCAGAGTTCCGAAGATGACGAGGATGAGCGTCAACCAGGAAAGTATTTCAAAGCGTCACCGACGGAAAATGACTTCAAACCTTCAACATCTTACCCTTTCAAAGCATACGATGAGATATTTGGGAAGCATAGAGTACAGTCTGATGACGACGATTTCGAGGATAAACCGTTTTCGAGTTATAAGAGTCATCCGTCATCGGACGATGACGAGGAGGACGACGACTCGTCATCGGAGTACCGTGGTGAATACACTGAATCCTCAAAACCATCGCACGACTCGTACGAAGAAGAAAGTGAGGACGAAGAGGAAGAAGAAAGTCGCAAACAGGAAAAACGCAAGAAAACTAACGAGAGGTTTCACGAGACAGAACCAAAACGGTCCAAATATTACCAGAAAGACTTTGAGCAGGAATTTGAAAAATCTTACAGGGAAGAACTGCCGAAACAAGGTACGCAGAACTTGCACACAATTTAGGTAGAATCACATTAACGGTTTGATCTCCAAATTTTCAACAAGTGTTATATTAATAAATAATTTCGTTTAAGAAGTAGCTTTCCCTCTAAAAATGTTGCGGCTTTAAAATAATGTCAAGTTGTACAGACCAGAAGTACGCAGGAAGATAATAAAATATTAAGATCATAAAATTATAAATTATTTGAAGTTATAGAGATTTGTACTTTACATTATGTTTCAAAATAATAAATCAGTACATTTAGTTTGTGACAAGAATAATTATGAAATTATCATTATCGCTTGCAGAATACGTGCATGTGAAAGAAGTGCCAGAAATAGACAGTTACATCAGTCCAAGTCCTTCTAAACGGCAACAAAAAAATAATCAATCGCGTGTAAAATATGGGCAACCCAAAGAATCGAAAAGTCAAGAGTCACTCACTTCCCGAAAAAATCGCAAAGTACCAAAGACGGATTACAAAGACAGTACCGCCTATAGTTCGGACATCTTCGCTAAAAAGACACCCAAAGTGATCTACGAGGAGTTCTATGGATACAAAAAACCCGAGACCAAAAAATATTCTAAGCACGCGAAAACTGAGAAATTTTCGTCCACTAAGAAATTGCCAAAGGAAGACGATCCTTATGCTGCTAAGTATTACAAGCTCAAGAGTACTAAGACCGACGGCGGACTCACCTCCAAAGATTCATATTTTTCCGCGAACCACTGGAAATTAAATAAAAACTCACCCGAGAAAACGGCCACTAAATCGAACGCGAGACAATTGTCAGATCCTGGTAACGGAGCTTCTTTTTATGAGCCACGCGTATTGAACGGCCAAGTGCGTTCTCTCACAAACGCAGAAATTTTCCGTAACCTGAAAGGAATCTAAACGATGACCAAATTATTAAGTTAAGAAACATTATACGTGTGCATATTTTCAGACCAAAAGCAACGAAATTTTATATGGATTTCATTGAATTGAAAAAATCTGCGGTTGTTTTTTACCTGTGGTTTTCTAGAAACCAAGTATTACGTATATATGCATTTGTTACTGTTACGTTCTTATTTTTATTATCTGTTATATAATATTATAGTGTAACAAAATATATTCCACATGTATTATTTCTTTATGTGTTAAGTTTTCCGTTCTCATTTCATTCAAGTTACATCACATAGTTATATAACAAGTATATTTAACAAATATTTCAATTTATTGGAAAATATTAGCAATTTATTTCAACAGCCTATAGTAATCATTTTATAAAGAAAACTTAAATTCTGTATATCAAAGAAAAATCTCAAAACTATAATTTAATATTGTCGAAATTTAATAAAATCTAAATATATAAACTTTTATGACTCTATAAAATAAAATATACTTAAAGAATTGACTGTGTTTTTTTATCTGTTTAACATTGTACTGCATGCAATAATCGTACCTCAACATTATTCATTTTTTACACTTTATTATTTTACATTTATAATTGTTATAATCTGTTCGAGCGCATTGTACTTTCGTTAACTTCACTAACTGTAAAACTTATCCCATGAATATAAGATTATAATGAAATTTTAGATTTTTAATATCGGTAAAATTAATATTGATTAATTCTTTAAAATTGAAATATATAATTAATTTCATTTAAAAAAATAATTTTTGCGTCTACTTCATATTTAATATTTTGTAACCAATCTTATGCAACCGTACGAGTACGAAACGATATATACGTATAAACAATATCTACTCATCAAGAAAATCGAACGTCCTCTCAATATCTATTAACTAAATTTACTTGACGTCTACGCTGAAGCGGAAGTACTTGGTACGTACTCAGAACTAGTTAACTACTTCCTGAGTTCGAGGACGAGATATGATCTTCGTCCATCGACTTCCAAGATGTAAGTGGCTTCGTGTGCAGTGATTGTATAGCATACGCCTTTCAGAAAATCGTCATTAGACAATGAAGGCCTATAATTCTGTTTGCGATACGTGGACTTTTACGAACACCTGTAATAGTTTTAATTAATTCTATGATTATCCCGGAGACGCTAGAGCATTCTTCCTCATATCACAAGTTGTATATATATCGGAGGGCCACCGGTGGAAGTTTCAGTAGCATCAGCAATATGTCTCGCAAGATGCAGACCTTCGTAACGGTAACTAGAAGTCCATTTTTATCCTCACATTCTATGGACACGATACATTTTATATCTCATGTCGTAACTGACAAGAAACTTCTATTTCTTAAGTTAACTTGTATCTACAGTGCAAGCGTGGTAGGAATGTCAGAACATAATAGAATCTAACAAAGAATTGAAAAATTGTTCCTTATTAAAGTTAACTATAATCGTGAATTCTTATTGTCGATATCTTCATCAATAATAAAAATAATTAAATAAGCGATTGGTTCATAGATCGTGCTTTTATTCGCTGTCGTATCCGTGGTGGAGCTGAAATCGGAGTCAAAGAAGCATAAACGCGGAGTAGCGTTTTTCGGATCGCCTGATTTCTTTGGAATTATGCCAGCCTTTGCTCCTTCATGGGCTCCGACGGGTTTTGCTGCTTCAGCCTGGAACCCCCCGATCAGCCCAGACGTAGCGCTCGCACAAGTCCAAGTTCAAGCCACACACGATGTAGCGCTTCAGGTACGCAACATTTATTACGCACTTTGCACTTCACCACGCGCGTTATACGCAAGATTTGAGGAATACGTTTGCTATCAATTTACATGACAGGCGCTGAGGGATCCGGCGCCCGGTACGCCCAGCATCGCGTACCCGCCCGAGGTTCTGAAAGCGATTCAGCAAGCGAAAGAGGCGAACAACAATGTTGCCATGGCTCAGCACAAAGTTGCGGAGGCGAAGCAAGCTGCGTTGATTCAGCAGAAAATTGCATTGGCAAAGGAGGCGGCGGCAAGGGAAGCTGCCGCGAGGTATACGAATAATTAATTCACTCTGATTTTCCGTTATTATGTCTAACGTTTCACCACAAACCGTGACGTGGCATCCACTGTCTGTCCCTTTTGCGCTGCTCACTTGTAATATTTCCACTTTGTGCAGGTCGCATGAAATTTCGCAATATGCCGAGACCGAGGCTAAAGCCAGTGCTCGACAGCTCGTGGCACTGCAACAGAGATTAGCAACCCTAAAGGATTCTGTAGCAGCTGCACAGAGAGTAGCAGCGGCGAGAGAAGCCGCCGCAGCTGCGGCGATCCAAAGAAACGCGGCAAACACCGCCGCGGAATTGCGGAAGCTGGATGTTGATAAGCAAATTAATCAGTCCGAGCAGGAGGCTAAGGTACTAAAAAATGTCATTCTTTTTATTATATTTTCCTGTTGAAGAAACAAAGATGCTTTTTTTGATAATATTATTATACATAAAGTTTTAAAAATTGTCATCATTCTAGTATTTGTGTTATAAGCTACTGACATCAATTTATTTTCAATATGTATATACACTGTCTAATTTAAACAGGAAAAGGATGTATTAGCTGCGAAGGAAAACGCGATAGCAGCTGCGGTCCAGCATGCGAGCTTACAGAAAGCTGCTCATCATCCTTGGGGTTGAAAACCGTTTCATAACATTATACATATTTTGCATACGGCATATACTTGTGGTGGCGGTAACGTAAAAGGGCATTTGTAGTATTATATGAATATAATATTATAATTGTTACATGTAAGAATCGTTTCATCAATAAAAGTTACAATTTATTTCGCGAGTTTTCTGTCAATTTTATTGTTTCCTGTCACTTTACATATTTATTAAATTATTTACTGAGAGTGGCAACGCGCGTTTATTAATTTATGCGAATCAAAATTATGTATTTCTATATTACAATATTCTTATATGGATCTTTTGTATGTTATTAAATTATATATTAAATAATTCATTTATATTCTTTCATTACAAAATTTTAATATGAAATGGACTTTTTGAAATGCATTTGTTATTTCAAAAGAACAAGCAACTTTATAGTCTATATATTATAAAATATTTTATGCAATATGCAATATTTTATACACAAATTGCACTTACGACTTAAAATAAAATTGCTTTTATTATTGCTTACTATTAAGACATTATTTACATAAAATATTATAATAAATTTTGGATGAGATGTTATTAGCAGTTGGTAGAGTCACTCTTGTATTAATAATTAAATTTTATTTTGCAAGTTTTATGAATAAACTTACTACTTATGTAAAAATACAGTTTACTTAATTTCCAGTAGTCTTTTAAGTATATTAATCTTTTAAAATAATATGTATAATATTATAGCTAAGAATGATCACATTAGTCTTAACGTATGCTATCGTTACCATGAAATACATGAAGTCTTTCACATGGTTTATCATCAGTTGGCAAAAGATCGTACTAATTACAAGAAAAGGGTAAAGACGATATGTTTCTACTAAAAAATCCAAATTATTGAACAATAGAAAATTATAAACGATGTGAAAATTATATCGCATGAATGCCATAAATAATTAAGTAAAACTTACTTATTGGATAATTTAAATAAGTAGATATATACTTATAGTAAGCTATACCTATTTATTTGCGGCCAGAAATCATTACTTTGCAAAGAAGTTAATATAAAGAAGTAACCGTGAAGTGTAAAGAAAGAAGCAACGGTGACAAAAAATACCTAGCCATTAAGTCTTGGAAAGTACCCCGCATTCTTTTGATAGAAATAATATATCTAGTATGATCATTAATTAACCGGACATGCGAAGTTTCTTTATGGAAAACTTGAAGAATTCGCTTGTATTAGCAAACATGCGTCCTGAAAAACGGCGACAGGAAAAACCTTCATTTATCACGACGAGAATATTTTTCTCTTTTATCGAAACAGACCGCCATAAAATGGACTATCAAATCCTTATGTCATATTTACCGATCGATACCTAACAATTATTTTATATGGAGTATAATTCTACAGATCATATGTTAAATAATTTTAATTTAAACTTAAAGTCCTATGTGAAAATATATATGTATATGCATTTGTGTATATACATGTATAACATATTATATTCCCAAAAATTGCGTAAACTATAATCGTATAACTAAACGACGTTTTGATGTTACTCTTATTATAGAACGCTTGATCATTGGTCTACTCAGAAATTTAACAGGTATTCAAAACTATCATTTCACTTTTTAGAACCCTTTACATTTCAGGCCACAGATTTACTTTACGAATTTCCAATTCATTTCCGTTGCCGAGATTGTCTCCTGTACGAGGAAGAGAGTGAAAGTCCCGGTAACCCTTCCGGGAGAATCGACAGACAATGGATGTGAGGTCACAATGTCCAGTTACGTGGGACGTGAGATCAAGTGCCTACAACCTGTATCCTGCCATCGAGTATCTGGGCGTAGTCGTTAGCGCCAAATCTACGACCATACACACCCAGCGAATGTACCGAGATCCTTTCACCCGCCTCTTCCTTTCTTAGTCATCTCGGGTTGCTCCTGTCTCTCCCTCGCGTATCGCCCCGTCGCCCTTTACGGTGCCACTACAAGTCCTACGAACCAGACGCGGAAGAAAGCCGTTCGATCAAAGTCACTCTTTCTACACTCCTTGGATCGCTATGCCCTCACCCTTGTCCATTTGTAAGGACAATGGATCGCTCTTTCGAAGCTCCGAAAAAAACGGACCGTGCAGTCAAGTCCTCGGTGCAAATATGGCCGGGCAGTATTAATGATGGTCCGGAAGAACAGGGAAAGAGAGACATACAGCTTACTGAGCGGAAATATGATGGATACGTCAAAGAGGAATTACTTATAACTCATCATTAATACTGCCGGATCATGTATATTCGAAATTAAAAGTAAACTGTTATAGCCGGATGTTATATTCGAAGTTAATGTATAATAAGATTCGGAAAAAGGAATTATTCATGCCTATAAATTCTCATTGTACTTATATAAAAAATTTTTATTGCAAGAATTAGATATTAGGCAAAAGGTATAAATTATTGGATACAAATTTTTGTTCGGCAATGCGTACAGGAAAGAAACAAAATAACAATCTAAGCGAATGTTTAGCTCGATACTCATATATGTCTATTTACAATTAATATCATTTAATAATTATTAACAAAATAACGCCGATAATTGAATGCGTAAACGCAATAAAATTTACTGTACAAACTAGATACACTGTAAACTCGTTTCATGCGTGACCGCGCAAAAACAAGCGTTGCAGGGAGACACCGGTGTCCAATATGTAAATATTTTAATTTCTTTTAATATAAATTGCACCTTGTTAAATACACTCGGACTATCTCGAATGCATAATTGTCCGTGAAATAAGAATTTTGATTTAAATGGCGTGGGAAAGCTAACAGGTTTCGCTCGTTTACTTTGGGGACGCATTCGGAGCGACGACGATGCAGCCTGGAAGGCCACGCGACTTTTAGGCATCAATAAACACAGCATCCGATTATCATTAAACGCGGTCAGTCATCCGTTCTATGCCGCCGCATTACTGCCGCGGTAAACGCAATTTTGCGAGATGCCGCCGTTACATTGAGATCGAGAGATCCACCTTTCACACCGAACCGGATAATGCTCTCTTTGGTCGCGTCTTTTTCCGTCGCTTTTTATTCCACAAACTTCTCCTTCACCCAGTTTTATTTGCTTTCCTTTCTTATGCGCGCACATCAGCCACTCTCACTGGAATCTAACTGTAACCTGATTTTTTTTAAATACCACGTATTAGCGTATGGTCAGGCGATATTCCTGGCACACGGTTATTAACGCCTCTAAGTAAACGACAAAGCTGGTGTTACATGCATACTTATAATAAATGACATGTCATTCAGTCACTCCTCGATCTCATATAATGATATTAATAATTTTACGTTGAAATGTATTTTTATGTTCCTTCCGCACGACACGTCACTCTGATAAACCTACCCTATCCTTCACCTTCTAAAATTATAACTGTCTCGCAGATTTCTTCGAGTATATGTATAGGGTAATGCAATAAATTAACACATAAATATATACAGTGGTACGTGCTGTAAAAAATCTGAAATAACTAATCTTGTTATGCGCGCGTAGAATATCTCGGACCAAACGTATATTATAACATTATTCACTCTGTCAGAATATCAGTTGACGCTTTCTCGCGATTAAATCGAAGTTTGACACAGTTATATTCAGCAATAACATATATTACAAAATGTGTATTACCCTCGTAATCACTTCTGCGGACAGGAATGATTTCTCCTCCGCTCGTATTGCGAAATACGAGAATTTAAACGCATATCAGTGTGCAGCACTTTATTTCAGAAAATCAGTGCGCACTCATAGACATTTCCATTTCACCTCGCTACGCAACAATAAAGATATCGGGAAAGAAGAACCCGTTTAGCAGAAAGGAAATCACTTTCATATGTTTACGAGAACGTGTAAGATGACGATCAGTTCTCACAGGTGTTCAACGCGTTTGTTTCTGCCCATCCGTTATTATTTACTCATCATGTAATCTCAATTCCAAGTATTCTACCGTATTTTTTGTCAAATAATTGATTGCGATTTTTGAATGAGCGACCCATGGAAAGTGGTAAAGTCGAATCGTAAGAAACTGTCAATCGAACAATATTTCGCAAGAATTACAATTTTTTAAAATCCTGGTTAATTTTTATTTTATTATAATTTTTTGTTGCTTCTTAAGCCGAAATTTGTCCGCTTACTTCGATACTTTCTAAGCAAATGCCGGCAATTCTTTCTGCAAAATTATTAATAATGTTATTTTCTTCACATTACCGATATATTAATTATATCTTTGCAAAATTTAACACGATTTGAACACTGACGTTTTTTAATATTATCAAATAATGTTTATTATTCTTCCGTACCTCGCCGTGAGGTACAGAAGAATAGTATGAAATGTAGCGCGCCGATTGAGGATCGCTGGTAATATCTCGTAGCATCGCAACATCACGATCAGATCAAAAACACGTTCTTACCTCGGTTGACTAGACTCGCAGTTTCAATCTAGTAATTTCAAACTAGTAGGCTCGAACTAGACTCGTTTCCAATTTGCTAATCGGATATGTGCATACATACAAGTCCAGTTTCCACGAAAGACCATCAGCTATCTATCGGATGGACAAGGGAGAGGGAGAAAGCGCCTCACGTATAAAATCGAACGGTCTATCAGAATGAATCCGCAGTATCCCATTCGTTGTCCCGTTCACGCTCGTATCTCTTCTCGCGACGTGCTTTGGAAAATGCTCCATCTGCCCTCAGTAAGTAAAAAAAAAGAGAGAGAGAGAGAAAAAACTGATAGGGGTTTCGCGAACCGTGACGGAAGTCGCGTGGGAATCGCGGAAGTGGAGATTCGTGACGCCCGGGTTTCTCGCCCGACTCCGCTCGCGAGCGAGTTCCGGCTTTACGGCGAACAATAGCGATGGAAAGTGATCGCCGATATTTCCATACTTTCCGTACGCGATACAAAAGTACGGTAGCACTCTCATCGATTCCGGATATTTTGTGCGACGCAAGAATGATAATATCGAGTTCGATGCATCGCCGGCAGCGCTTTCCTCCGAGGGAAGAAAGGGCACGTTGACGAATGTTTTTCTACACGCCCGCTCGCGAATAAGATGTTTCCTGCGTTTCCCTGCTTTGTTCACACATTCACGTCATCGAGCTAAGTAATTGAGAGGTGTAACAGTAGGTGATACATTTCAATTTAAATTGCTCAAATGTTAGACAATTTATAACTGTTTAATATTTAACGCGTACACAGCGTTTCATTAGTAAAATGATATGTACATAATAATATATTAAAAATTAGTTGATAAAAAGATTTTGCATATGTAAAATTTATTCCAGTTTTTATTTGTGTATTTTAATTAAAATTTTATAAAATGGCAAACAATTATTTCATATTTTTATTAAATAAACTAAGCTTTGTTAACAAATAAGAAATTTTATAATTTATTATAATTATTTTCTTTCTATATTTCTCTAAAAAAAAATTATAATTCTCTCTCTCTCTCTCTCTCACACACACACACACACACACACACACATACAAAAGAAATTAGGTTAAATTAAAAAATACAATTACGATTAAAGTAAAAAGTTAATAATTCTGATATTCCAGGTGCTTGCTCTATGTTTATTAATTAAAACAGCGTTCGCTAGTTTCTCAGGGAGTGATTCTGGATGGCAGGGGTAAGTAAGAAAAATGAAGAGATTTGACAGAGTTATATATGCATTACCTCTTAATGTGGTATGTTCCGTTGTATTGCAACTTCTAATTGCTGCTTTAATTTTGATAGACTATCTAATTTCGGAGCTACACATTATGACTCCAGTGGCCAGAACTTAAACATACATCAGACTCTTCCTTCTTACGGATCGTATTCTTCCTTCGGAAATGGTGGCGATCTTCATATAGACTTAGATCAAGAATTTAAGGGCAGCAATGTTCAGCATACAATTGCTGAACCTGTGTCGATCAGTAAGCATGTGGAAGTCACGAAGCCAGTGGCAGTGCCAGTTGTAAAAAATATCGGTAAGATTTTGCAAACTGTAGCGACGAATTAGATAATATAAAAGCAATCAGTAAATTATACAAAATCGTAGGAAACAACAATTTAAAACTCAGTATAATTAACTTAATCACTAGTTAATATAATAAGATAAACACAAACTTATTGTTAAATCCTAACGATATGATGTAGTAAACATTTCGTGATATCACATTAAAACGCAAATTGTAAATTTTATGTAAAATGAAAGCAATATCGGAAACGTTATTTACATACATATTATTAAGGAGATGCTGGAGTGATTCTGCACTTTCGCACCTTTTGCACTTAAAACTGTCTGTTTCGTGGAAAGATTTGTGTAATACACAAATTAAATGGCACGTGTACAGATGATCGAAAGCAGCTTGCTATTCCGGCTAAATTAAAGAACAATATGATATCACTGAAACTAAGTTTGTAAGTCTGATAAAAAATAATAGTGAGCAACACATACATACAGTACATGTAGTATGTGTGTTGCTCACTATTATTTTTTATTAGACTTACAAACTTAGTTTCAGTGATGCCATATTGTTCTTTCATTTGACCGGAATAGCAAGCTGCTTTCGATCTGTACACGTAAGCCATTTAATTTGTATATTACACAAATGTTTCCACGAACTGACAGTTTTTAGGTTAGAAAGGTGCAAAAGTGCAGAATCACTCCAGCATCCCCTTAATAGATAACAACTTTAATGAAGAATATAATTTGTGTATTGAAAACGGAATAGAAAATATGCGTATTCATTAAATATATTAATCCTGCATGTTGTATTATCTGTGAAAGCAGTATCTATAAAAGTAATGTTTCTTATCTGAAAAAATCTTATTTAATCGATTAAAGTAGTATTTGTGAAAAATTCTTATCAGAGTGATCAACACGCGTGAATTTGCGAAAAGCTAAATTTCCATCTTTATACTATGAAGTACGTTATGCGACTTTGACTACATGAAATTTCACACTTTACACTGCACTTTCTCTGTTTTTTTAACTAATTTCCTCAATTAAACATATTACTAAAATATATCAGTATTGAATCAGTATTATATGACAAATGTATTGAGAAGATTTATTAATTTTACCTTATATAAAATAGCGTGATCTTCTGTTTCACTTTTTTTAATTATTTTATGTCATTACGATGTGAGGACTGATAAACATTTCATATCTTTTCATCCTAGTCTTTAATTTTCGGTTAAGAGCTAAAATTCTTATTATGGTTTATCTTTAACAAATTGAAAAAAATTGCCCATAGAACATGCATGACTAAAAGACATCTTTAAGATGTCTGTTAGATGTCTTTTAGACATGTATGTCTAAAAGATGTCCAAAAGACTTCCCAAAGACGTCTTTCAGACATGCATGTTCTCTGGGTGGTTTTCTCCTGAACAACTTTGACGCTCAAGACTACAAAAAAAGACAAGAAAACATAGAGTAAATTATCATCATTTTCTGACTATAGGAATTCCAGTGGCACAAACTGTTACAATACCCGTGCCTCATCCTATGGCGGTAGGTGTTGCTCAACCCTATCCCGTCCACGTGCCGGTCGTCCGGCCGATCCCCGTGCCGGTCGTGAAAACCGTCGCAATCCCAGTCGAGAAGAAGGTACCATATCCGGTGGAGAAAATCATACCAGTGCCCGTGGAAAAACCGGTGCCAATAACCATCGAGAAGCATGTGCCCGTTCCAGTGGAGAAGCCATATCCGATTCACATACCGGTCTATAAGCATATTTTCCATCGAAGAAAAATAAGAAAGAGACGCGGACGCAAGAGGAGGTATTGAGGAAAGTTAAGCTGTAATTATTAGACGAGATTCAAGCGACACAAATAACTGTTGATTCGTGCGAAATCTTCTCGTGATAACATTAAGATATGATCTTCTCGTCGGATAACATTAAATATAGCGATGTATTTAACTGGTTTTTCTTGACTTACCAGCTTTTCTGACAAGATTCATCGTTATATTTGTTGTTAACATTGTGAGAGAACAATATTTCTTTGCTCGCCTATTTTTCAATAACACCGTTGTTGTTATATTTATACTTGTTGGCGTGCATCGTTTGTTGTTGCCAAATAATAATCTTATTTAATAAAGAAACCTTTTGTATTATGTGTAATATCATTTACCTGTTATTATCGACTTGTGAGGTAAGATACAGATGTTGAAAAATCCCAAATAGAGCATGGTTATGCTCTATCGTAATTAATGAGCTTACAATTTTTTTTTAAATTAATATAAAATTATGAATTTATTAAACGTTTAAAATTTAACTATTTTAGACAATAAAATATGATTTCCAGTTTAATTGAGCTTTGATGCTTTTCTTGCTTGCTTATTCATTGTGACTACCTCTTGAGGGAACAAATTTTCTAGAAAACAAAATTAAATCTTACGAATTAAAGATTATTATTTCTAATATCCATCCAAATAGTCCCAAAATATTTTTGATAAATTAATAAAAAAGAATATTCAGTGCCACTGAAGTCAATATATCTCACAAATCCTTTAACTTTATATCATGCCATAAAAATACTAGATTATGTAGACCGCGAAAACCTAGTCGTTCATTTTCTATGCGCAGAAAAAGACGATTACCTCTTATAACACCTCTTTAATTATCCACTTTGCTATGTGGCGATCGAACGAAAAACCAACAATGTTTCGTTTGGTTTTGAACTCGGGTCTTCGGATTACCAGACCAGCGCACAATCTTCTGCGCCACGATCGCCACTGATAAATTAATAATTTTAAACTAAATTTGGAACACAATTTTATTAATTGCTCACCTCTATCTGCTCCTCGGCAATTACTTTATTACTATTATTGTTATTTATGTATCAATATTTTTTATTTATTTATTTAATCATTTTCTATTATTATCGTTACATCACATCTTTAATATATTATCGTATAAATAAATTTATAAGAATCTATTCAATAACAAAATTTATTTTCTACAATAATAGAAACAGATTAGAAAATGGAAAAATAATATAATATTTTATATAAGTTTTTAAATTATTGAGTATTTGAACCTCATGTGTGTGTTACAATTTCATTTTACATACAAATATGTTATTTTATTAGAAAATAATTAATAATGAAAGATACTATCACATAAAAGAAATGTATTAATAATACGTTAAATATATACATTTGTATGATCAATCTTACGAATTTTTCCATGCGTTAATTTGTATTTATTCCTTTTTTTCATGTTGAAGATGGTCCAATAAGGACTGAAACATATATTCTTTTTTAATTAAATAATTTTTATTGGACACTACAACCTTGTCTAGACTCTGAGCCCCTTTTTTATAATATGATTTTTAATTATTCTTATCATACTAGCTTTTATTATTTATTAAAATATATACAATACATCTTTGAGTATATATTATCTCACAAGACTTTAATATTGTGAGCATAGTATCTGTCAAAAAATGTACAGATATTTAATAACTAGATATTAGCTTATAAGAAAGCAATGTTAATTATGTTAGATTAAAAAACAAATCTAAATAACTTAATGTGTACTTATTATGCAAATTTTTATACATTTCTCACATTAAATGTGAAAGTAATAATAGAGATTTATTACTCAGAGATAGATTATGTATAGAAATTTGTATATAATATATCATACATATATCATATATATAACTATATATGTACATATAGTGTAATTCAAGTTACGATAGACCTTCACTTCCTTTCATTTCCGTATAATTCCCACGGACATGTTAACATACGAGATCGTAATAAAGCATAAAAATTAATATTAAAGCATTAGCGATTGATTGCAGATTACTTCCCGGAAACCTTTGTAATATGTCTTTACTTATACCTTTAAACAACTCATTTGATTTATTATTGTGTAAACCGTAATTCACTTTAGATCTTCGGAACCGGTCATAGTTCAGTAAGCTAGCAATTTTATTCCTCTTCCGTTGAAGGAGTCAAAGTAAGAAAGTTTATTTTATTCTTTTATTAATTTTGTTCTTTCATATCCAATTTTTTAAATAATTTCCAAAAGTTAAACATTTACCTGATAAATAATAGGTTATCTTTAGTATACATATAATACCGTTATTAATTAAAGTATGCACAAATAATTTATCCGCCATTTTGCATTGAATATCATGATTATGTAACATCATAATAACTTTAGCAAATTGATATAAAATTTCTCATTTTTACTGTGTTTTATATGTTTAAAAAAAATTAAGTAAATCCTGTCAGTTTCTTCTTCTAGAACACAATCCTATCGAGGCCAAATTCTGTTAGACTTTTGAAAGTTTAAAGGAAAATTCCATGAATCAGGAACGGCACGCCTGAGTTCGCTTAGGGGCTATATTTTCTTGCTAATTATCGTAATAATAAAAAATGAATGCACAGAATAGCTGGGTCGTCCACACATTCGTTATGCTCTCTTCACACATAGTTAAAATTATGTGCGTGCACAAAAATTAGTCTTTCGCGTTTCGTAATTACATCGGTATTTGTCACATAAGATTTTTATCAGTTTTGCTAGAAATAATGAGGCTAAAAGTGGTGAAAGGAAGATCAAAAGCGCGTAAATTACATTAACTTCTTTTCGTTATGTTACAAATATCTAAATACCTTTTACTTCAGTATTTTTAAGTCACAGATAATTTTTGTTGTACAAGCATATACAAAGTAAAGATTTTATGCATAATTGTAGTTTATAAGAAAAATATTTTTGGATATTTGTCCCATTATATTATTTTGTTACATATTTAAAAACAATTTAGCTATAATATTAAGTAATTAAATTACTGTATCAAATGGCGATTGATATTATATCATGGAAGAATTAGGTGCGCACTTAAAATATCAGAATAAATATAAATATTTTGGCAATAGCGAAGGACACCCTTTTCATGGTGTCTTAATAATGCGGTAAAAAGTGATAATGAAAGCACTCGGTTTAAAAAGCGATGTTAGGATAATTAAATGAAGCGTGGAGATTGACGATCTTGCGACGAACGGCCTGCAAATTTAGCAACTTCTCCATATGAAACGTTGACGCAGTGGTGAAGTGGTGGGCTGTAAACCCGGTGAACGTGGAAATCCGCGTTCGTAGACGCTCACCCGTACAGCGGAATAGGTAATGTCCGATTCGTTGCCAATGTGAAGGCCGCGAGGACACGGTCAATTATTTTCACGCGCGCGCCCACTAGGCTGCAGTGAAACAATTGCACCGGGAGGGTATAATTCGCCGCAGTACGAAGCGAGACGAAATCACATCGTCTACAGTGAAAGGCCCCGCGGTATATTAAGACGAGAAATGGCCGAAGATGTATCAGTCGTTCGAGAGACTTGCGCTACAAGCAACTTGAAGCGCCCTAATAGAAACACGTGGGAGGATGAGTGGAATCGTAAGTACCGAGTAAATTGCTGAAACGTACAACAGCGCAATTTAAAATACAAGTCTAAACCGAATTGAAACGGGATCGTAAATCCATTTGGACATTCTTTATCAAAATCGCGTTTAACTTCTCGTACGTTCAGTTACTTTAATATTAATTGAAATTAATTTAAATTAATTATTTAAAACCTTTAATAATCTTATCACAGCGCAGATAATATTCTCAATATATTTCATGAGCGTCAATATATTTAATTGTGCGAAAATTAAATTAATTACAGGAAATAATATAAAAAATTTTATACACGTTCATATTGTTGGACAATAATGGATTTTCGCCAGTTACTAATTGCACTTTCCATTTTTGTTTAATGTTCAATTTATAGCTGCTGCTTTCTCTGGTGTCCTTGGCCGCGGCCACGCCGGTGTTCGTGAACCAAGATGGAGGGCACTACATAATGCAGTTATTTAGCGGTCACTATCCGATCGATCGATCCGATCAGGAGATCGCTAGTACTTCCGGAAGCAGCGGTTATGATAGTAGCTACGGGGGTAGCTACGGGGGTGGCTACGGGGGTGGCTACGGGGGTAGTGGCCTCGGAGGTGGTCACGGGGAAGAGGCTGCTTCCACCGGCGGACATTTAGAGTCTGGCGGTGGACTCGACGGCGGTCATCAGGATTACTCTTCCGGCGGTCATCAAGATTACTCTTCCGGCGGTGGATTTGACAGCGGTCACGGCGGTGGATTTGACAGCGGTCACGGCGGTGACGGCGGCGGCCACGGATGGCAGCCAGGCTCGCTGGACGGCGGGCATAATTATGTTCACAGTGTTCCCGTCTCCGAACACGTCGAAGTAACAAAGCCCGTAGCCATACCAGTCTACAAACACATCGGTAACGTACTATTATATCGTTCCCTGGACTGCGACCTATGCTTGAAAGTCAGCTAGAATCAGCAGTTACGATGATATAAAAAGTTCCTTCATTAATAATTATGGAAAGTAAATTTTGAGTCCATAATTATACTATTACTGTTATTAATTATTTATGCCACGCTAGCAGAAGTTAATAGCTTTCCATCATTTTGTAGCGCACGTGTAGCCAAAAAGTTATTATCACCTATAGCCAGTTGTCCTCTCTGCTATGTATACACTGGAACTTTGTACATGAATATTATTTTTTTCGTTAGCAAAACTTTCAACGGGTTAAAGAACTTGAAATTTAACTTATGTCTCTCGAATAATTTGTTTTTTCCAGGTGTACCGGTCCCAAAATCAGTGCCGATAGCGGTGCCACATCCGGTAGCAATTGGTATTCCACAACCTTATCCCGTTCATATTCCTGTACCGAAGCATATTCCCATACAAGTTATAAAAACGATAGCGGTCCCGGTAGAAAAGAAGGTGCCTTATCCTGTGGAGAAGCACATACCAGTACCCATCGAGAAGCCGGTTCCCATCACAATTGAGAAACACATCCCCGTCCCTGTCGTAAAACCGTATCCCATCAAAATTCCCGTTTACAAGACCATTTACCATCACGCGAAGAAGCATTAAAACGTGCCTGCGGGGATTTCCATGGATAGGGAAGAACGCGGTGCATACAACCTAGAAGTGATCCTTAGCAATCGACATTTTTCAACTGAGCGAATTTTATCAAAGCGCATCAAAAGATTAGCGTACGTTAGAAATATTGGTTTGTGTGTGATCGAAAGAGCGATAGGATGTTCTACTCTGTACTGAAAATGTCTTCCTTTTTTTTTACATCCACGAAAAGCTACCAACAGCAGCCCGACGTTTGCTGGAAGACAAATACGCCCGTCTCTGAAAAATACCTACGTTAAATAATTTATTGAGTCTTTGAGTTGCTTAGGGTTAGTTCAGCCGCTTTAACTGCTATTCGTTTGTTCGAAACTTGCAAGATAGTATGTTAACTTTGTGAAGGAAATTGTATAAGGGCCGATCGACTTGAACCGAATTGACTGACACGTTTACCCGTCCCAACCCTCATAGCGTTACTCTCCACCGATAAGGAGAAAGTTCACGAAAAACAGTCCATGTTCGCTCCGTTAATCGAGCATTCTTCGACATCGATTTATTTTATTTTTTTTTGTATATACGTGCATTTTGTAAGCGTCGGTGCGACCGACGCGTTGTTGAGCCACTTTTTTTTTAAACATTTTGTTGTTCTGTTGCGTTTTTGAATAAAACTCTTACAAAACTAAGCACTGTCGTTGTTCTTATTCAGTGAAAGTCTGACGACGAGACAGACATTTTTACTATCTCACATATGTACCGTCAGAAAGTACTGGATCGAATTAAGATGACGAGTTCAGATATGAATGTAATTAAGGAGTATTATTTCTATTGCTTGCGATAATGATAAACGATCTGAGTTTGAGGTCCAGCATATTAATAGTTAACTGTAATAACATATGGACATTACAAATGTCTGTTTTCAGTAATTAGTGTTTGATCAGTCAATGTCCATCTAGCATCCTTTTAATTTAGTGAGCACAGGTGCACGTTCAGATTATAGAAATTACATTCTATTTATAAATCCTATTTTGTGATTCCTTTTAACACATACATCAACTCGCTACTTATCTTCGAAATTATTACGTATCCATCTTTTTCAATCTGTTAAAAGCTGTCGTATGGTTTAAGTCTCTTGCGAGTAATGCAAAGTTATCTTTTAGTACAAAGCCTAGTCATTTGTTTTTAACAAAGGCGTGGAAAATTTGCGTTGGTAATGGTACTAGTAGTCAAACAAGCATCGATTACAGTCCGTATGCGTTCCATTGCAGGTCGTAGAGCACGAGAAGTGCTGGTGACAGGCTTTCACTGTGATTTTCGATAAAAGTATGGGAATTCCGCGGAAAGTGGACGTTAGACAAGATTGATTTGCCCGCGATGGACGGGATCATCGTGGTCGCCTGCAACAAATCATCCGTGACATCGGCAGCATCGTTGTACCTAACAAGATGAATCCATCCATTCTTGTGTTTCATAACAAAAACTAACCAAGAAAACGACTAAAAAATAACCAACAAGTAACTTGTAAATAAGTACTCACGTTCGCAGAATAAAAAAACTCTTCAAAAGAAATATGAAAGCAGTATCTCTTACAAATATAATTAAAAATAATAAAATTAAATATTTTAAATACGACAATGCGTTTTAAAAGCTGCGTTCTGTTATTATTTCTCTATAATAACGTAAAAACTTTTGCGGGACTGCAGAAAATATACTTTATTACTTTTCAGAAAAAATCTTTCTCGAGTAATCGCGCGTAATATTAGATAAGTAGGGAGAATTTTTGATAAAAAAATTATGTATTCAAAACATACGTAACATTGAAAATTGAGACAAGAAAATGAGATTTATACGCAAAATTTCTTGTACGAGCCAACAAGAAACTGAAACAATAATATATAATATTATAGACGGAAATGCAAGTATTAGACATTATGTAACATTTGCTCGTAATGGTGACTGCGGACGATTAGTTCCTCAATCGAGCGATCGTTGCATCTACGGTGGGGTCATTTCAAAGAATAGTGGGGTTGCTTGTCTCTCTGTGCGGGCAGTATATAAAGTGACGATGAAAAGAATCTGTCACGAGAGTAGACTACCTGTTCACTCACGCTAGAGATACCTTAGCTAAGAAATGAAAAAAATTGTACGTAAAGGCTCACCTTTGTTAGGTAATGAGACGATCTTGTGTTTAATAATCATTGTATCTTTAACTATTTGGACTATAAGTGGATCGAATGAATGAATTTTCGTGCAACTTGTGCAGCGAACAATTCCTCGTTAATTCGAGGACCAGCAATTTAGTGCTGCTTCGTGTTTAAGATTGTGCTGTTGGGAGTCGTCGCCTGCTCCTACAGTTCCGATTGGAACCTTGGAAATCATGGCGGGCTCACGCTGGGAGAAATTTCCTTAGACCACCATGACTTGGGAGCTTTTAGCCTGGGAGGAACAGGTTTGAATATTTATTTTTGATTGCTCACTTATTACACGATTTATTTCTGAAATGTGTTTTCTAATGCACAAACTGTGCGAAAAGATAAAAGTGTAGCCACGAATTGATTTATCGCGATAATTATAGCATACGACTGCAGCTTTATCACGTAAGTGCCTCGTTACATTGATCTGATGAATAAATGCTGATAAATGGTTTCGAATTTTAGAAAGTCATTCCTTAGATTGGTTCGGAGGTCATTTGCCAATAAAAGTTAGTGATTGGCATTCGAGCATCAGCGGTCTTCACGGAGCTAATATCATTCCCACTACTAAATATATCGGTAATACGAAAAGCGTTGGCTTTAATGTACGCTAACACATTTGGATATTATTAATATTAGATAAAAATATATTTGCACATAATATAATATCCATAAGTGATTGATAATAATATAAACTGGCCGATTAGTTTTAATGTGATAATAGGACTAAAGTGCATGGAGCATTAATTGATGTGAGCAATTGATTTTAATTAATACATAATAGTAATTTAATTATATTTATATAATATAATATCGAGTGTATATATTATACTCGTATAATAATAATAATTTTGCATTACTTCATTGCCGCTTTAAAACTATTTATTGCTTATTAAACATTTTCAAGCGACTTATTTCATTGTTTTCTGTTACACAACGATAGGAATACCGACGATCCAAAAAGTTCCAATCAGCGTACCGCATCCGGTAGTGGAAACGGTCCCGCAGCCTTATCCTGTTCACGTGATAGTATCGAAGCCTGTACCGTTTGAGGTGACTAGGCAATAATTATTTTGAATTTTACAATAAACTCATACTTTCGTTATCCTTTATTAAAATTAACCTTTTCACAGGTAGAGAAGCAGGTGTTCAAGACCGTCGAAAAAAAAGTACCGACACCTGTCGAGAAAATAATTCCGATTAAGATCGAGAAGCCGGTACCATTTCACGTGGTAAAACACGTACCTGTACCGGTCGAAAAACCGATTCCAATCAAGATTCCGGTGTACAAGACCATCGTGCACAAAATCAAGCATTGATTCCTCGCGCTATAAATATACTTCTGTCTGTTGTTATATGTAATACAAAAAGACAAAATATTTTGCTGTATTACAGCACTGTGCAACGATTGTTTATTAAAACGTTACCACTAATAAAAAGTTGTTATATGTTTTTACCCAAGTACCTAATTATCAGATGCTTAGATTTGATAAAAAGTTATTTTACAATAATAAAGAGTTAATAAAGAAAAAATTATATTATACACGCAATTTTTTACACACATAACTGCTGTTGTGAAAATTATTTTCTTTAAAATCCAAACTTAACAATTATATTTAGTATAGTTTAATGCAGAAACGTTTGTATAAAAAATATGTGTTTAGTTATTTAGCCTGCTTCATTACAACTTGTCGGATATTAAATAATGACCTGCTAAAGAACTGTAATTAAATATATCTTAAGTGAGCTTCCAGTCAGCATGCTAATATATATTAGTCGTTTGACGTGAAAAGCGAAATCAACGTGCAAAAAACTGTGGCATTTAATTGATATAATTTAAATGATAACGCCACGGCGATTCCAGACTCGCCGTTTGAAATCTGGTGGTAATTTGAAGCAAGATATTAACGACAACGGTCCGTGTCGTTACTGGTATCGTTCTCGTTATTTTTTACAATCGTGTATAGCCGACTATGTGTTTTCCAGATATCCCGAGAGAGACGCCAATATTATAAAAGTATGTTATAAAAACACTACTACTCTGCTAGATGGTTCGCCGCATACTAACGAACATAGTTGTGATTAATCCAGAATAGTAATAAACAACGCATAAAGTTTCACCTTACAATTCTCGTTGGATATTAAGTCTACATGATCGCTAAACACGAAATAGTTACTTGATTGGATCCATTTAATGTGAAAATGAAGTGATGCGAGACCGGAAACTCGAATAAATATTTATTCTTGGTTGACTAACGAAACTGTATATCTTGCTGAGTGGACATTTTCCGTTTAAGCAGTTCTAAAGTAACTTGTAATAGCCGGATGCCCCGTTAGAAGGATATTTTCATAAAAATGATCTGTCTATTCTGAAACATGAAGTCTGAGTGTAAGGTAGAAGTCAAGTTAATGAAGAATTGATCGGATTTTAATATCTCGGATATTCATAAAGCCAACTACGCTCAAATGTTTAGTAAAATCATACAAAAATCAATTTGCACGTAATCATTTTGCATTTCACTTTCCGCTTCCCCTTACATGTTCATTAATTTTATTAAAATTTATACAATGAATAATTTTGTATAATAGTTTATGCTTTTGCAAAAGCAAAGCGAAAATAACAGAGCACTCGAGTGGGAAAAACCGACACGAAAGTGAAATGCAAATTCTATCTTCTATTCCTTTAAGGTAGCTGGAAGTGGAAAACTGGCGCTGCAGTCAAGCAATGCATTTTAATTACGAGATACTCCAACGAGACGGAGTTGGACAGCGAGTGTGCAGTCAAAGCAAGTTTCAAATTTAAAAAATTATGTAATAACAATTCTTCCTGCACGTACGAAGAAACACAAAGGATAATGGAGAACATCAACGCACGGCAGTGGTTTAAACTAGTATAGCGAAAGGGAAGTCTCGTAGATTGCTTCTCTCTCCGGTCGTGGTGGTGGTCTTGACCACTGTAAAAGGAGGAAGAGCGATCTCCTGCGACACGTAACGAAAAACGTCATAACGCTTCGACGTTTGGGAAGTACGAGAAATGATTGCGGTTGCGAATGTGCTATCATTCCATTTCCGAGTACCGGCATCTCACATTAAGCCATAATATCCGTTAAATCATCTTAATGGCCGTAGTTTAACGCGGTATGCATACTGTAGGAAGCAAAAAGAAGCAGTTTACTTCATTTCCATTTGGATTGCTGCGATCAACCTATAAATACAACTTTGGCGCGTGCATTAGTTTAAAGCGTACTACGATCGGTCAGTAACATTGTAATTGAACGCGCTTGTTCGATAGCGCGGGAAGAAATTGACTCCCTTCAATTATGGGAAAGCCAATTGATTGGGTACATTTGTAGATACACGCGCGTATGAGTGAGTAACCTCGGGCACAGTGCGAATAAGGAAGGCGCGCTTTAATGTACACTCACCAGCGGGCGGTTCCTCTTTTTGCGGTGGCACGATCGTGGTGATTGTTGGTAGAGCAAATCGACTTTGAACTTCACTTTCGCCATAAGCCTTTTTTCCCCGTCGCGAACTTCCTTCGCTTCCTTTTTCGACGTTACCGGCGAATTCGTTGACTTACGCTCGTTATTTAAATGCGCGCCAGAAGAGTCACGAGAATCCAGAGTAATGCTCTCTTCTTCTCTTCCTCAGTTTTTTTTTCACTATTCTTACGAGGGGTCTTCGAGCACAGTACTTTTCCATTCAGAATTTTAATCTTATTCAATTAAAACTTCCATCATATTTTTTTTCTATTAAATTGCTGATTACTAGACAATTCATACAAACAATTATTTAATTCTTACTAGTAGATCCAATTAATATTATATAAACGTTTTCATTACATGATAATGAATACAAAAAGATTTCAGGTTTTATTGTTATATGAAACAATAGTAAGAGATACAACATGCAGGTTGATTGATTTAAAACGAGGTAATTTTTGTCATGTTTAAGAAGCATGACCGAATTCATACTTTCTCTAGTCAGAGGTTGTAGGTCAGAGCTCGGTTGTTGTATCATTAGTGTACATACTGAGGAACAATTGAGAATGAAATCGAACTGGACCGCGGACCCAAACTCCTGTGAGTGACAGATCGTGAGTTTCTGCGATCGTAAATTCGTCCAATTTTCCATGAGAGTGAATTAGTGGTATCGCTTTACCGTGGACATTAATTGAGATGGTCTTCGCTTTAGAATCGCCTCGGAGTTTCTCCACGCATTAGGAACACATTTCCGTCCGCGGATGATGAACCTGCCACGTGAATAATTAACCGAGAAATAAAACTTAAAAAAATAACTACGTAAAAGCGCTGCAATGTTGCCAATATAGAACATTACAATTTTGCCGTTGACTTAAATGTTTTTGGGTAGATGTAATTTTCAATTTTTAATTCGGATGCTCTTTGTGAAATATTGCACATTCGCAATTCCAATGCATGTATTAATAAGTAAAGATAAGCTTTAAAAAATATATGATAAGTAATTGCGCATAAGAGAGAATAATAGTGTAATTAAATTATTAAAATATTTTTTAATATAAAGACATTTTTTGAAATTTGATTCCTTCTTTCCTAGTGGTGTTAATATTAACATTTTTTTTTACAGCTTGAGTCTAAAATGTGTATTTATGTGCACATAAGTGTAAATATGTAAATTTATTTAATCCGGATGCCGTAAATTCTTCTTTCGCCATCAACATGACGGATATGGCAAACTTGGCTTACTGTCAATATATCATGGATTTTTATTACTTTATCTATCATCGCATATCTTCGAGTATTGCTAATCCATTTTTAAGATTGTTTCACGCTACCTTTCACAGTCGAATGTCTTTCTATCAGTGTTCCGGCCGGAACCCTTTCACACAGTGTTTCGTACTTTCATTCTGACGTATCAAAAAAATGCATCGTCTGTCTCTCGAAGCAGGAGCACGCTTTGCGTTCACTTCCTAGTTGAGTCTAAAAACAACATACAGAGGGAACTACCTTGCTGCATGACTGCCGGGAGATTTGCATTTACGTAAGTGAACGGAAATCAAATTTGTATGTCCGAGCGCTCCTTTCCTATATTTATCGAGACGAATCAGCGCGTTGTAAAAAAGTTTCTGGCGAGTCATTCTGATCATTGTATCTTGAGAAAATTAGTAATTATTTCGAGTAATGACCGAAACATTTTGCTCGCAAATTTGGACCCAGCCAACGTAGTCATCTAACATAATTTAATTTTTATGAACATTCTACAGGGATATCGGAAAGTCTTGGAGATTGTACATACATGGTACCTTCACTTCCGGTAAACGGGACTGTGCGCGTTTACATTTGCCTAAAGCCCCTGTAATTTCTCCGTAAAATCTCCGTAATTTTCCTGCTACGGAATATTTTAACGTTTGCACGCTTGCCATACTCTTTTAAACAATCGAACTGAACCCACGGTAATCATGAAATGCTTATTTAATTTAATATTCATGTTCCGTGATGGCTTATTACTGCACGGTATCGGACAATAAAATTGGAACATCGCGAATATTCTTAAGATACATTACATCCGCTAGTTGTATAAGACAACTTGATAAAGTGATTAATGCCGCGACAACTAAAACTTTTTGCGATTAAAAATTACTGAAGTTGGATAATTGTTTTATGCAATTGTACTTTCCAAATATAAGAAAGTGAAAAAAATAAATTAAAATTTTTTAAAACAAATTTTCTAAAATAGTTTTATATCAATAATATTATGATAAAACCTAATCCAAAAATTTCCAATAATAATACTTGAAGCGTTGTAAAATGATTCATTTTTACATAAAACTTTAGAATGTAAAATTATATATTTACAGTTTTGTATCATATATTTTAATACATATTTGTACGTATATTGTAATTTTATAATACACGTCACATAACGTTATAGATCGAATTTTATTTTAAAGTCATATGTAAATTGCAAATAGTTCAAAGTAAGCTAATATCTTACAGCGTGCAAAAATTAATACAAATAAAAGTAATAGACAATGCGTTAACTATGCGCTCGTTTCTCAATTTCGCGAAAAGAAGTTTTTTGTAAGGTGGCGTAACCGAGTCACACAAATTGCTATCATCTACACTTTCTCTACTCTTAATGTTTTACAATATACATACATAATCACGGTATGATTTCCGTGCAAAAAGTACATAGTGAAATGGCTCGATATGTTCAAAGGAAGAAGGTAGTTCTTCATATATGTATATGTGTGGCAATTCTTTTGTACTTATCTTGGTAGTGTACAGTCCTTTCTGATGATAACTATTGTTGCACGATGCGAAATGCAACGTGATATATCATGGGAAGAATTGGGACTCTATCGCAGGATTATAGTGAAAGGTGGTGGAATCGAAGTCGGTATATAAAGTCGGTCTTTGAGGGATAATAGTCATTCAACGCTTGATTTCTCGTGTTCGCATCATTACTAGCCCCACAAAAGCACGTCAACATGAATAAAATTGTAAGATTCAGACACTCACTTGTATGTGTCTGCGACAAATGTGTGTTTAATGTGTTAAACAGTGTTAATTGATATAATAAAAGTGACAATTTTTTTAGATTGAAAAATAAAGAACTCTACTCGTATTGTGCAATAATAATATACTTATATAATATATACAATAGCATTAAAGTTATATTTTCAGAAATAAAGTAATTACCAAAATAGAATAATTTATAACATTTTTACAAAAATTTGGTCAAAATTTCTATAACAATAAGAATTTTGTAATTTTATGACTTGATTAATTGAAAACTGTAGATTACAGTGTCACTTAGACCTTTTACTATTAATTTCGATATTGAAAATTAGAAAAGATTAAAACGAAATATGATACCTAAGTAATATGAAAGGATTTCTTATGTTTCGTTGGTTTTCTTATGCATGCAGGTTTTCTTATGTCTTGTTTCGTTTGGCAACATGGTGTTGGCTAGCCATTTTGCCGAGGACGATGGTGGTTCAACATACGAAGAGAAAACGAAAACTGTGGAAGTTCCAATTATTAAAAAATACGGTGAGCTTATTTTCCCAAAAGTATTAATTACAATTTTTCAAGCTTCACATATCATAGCGTCTTTAATTATTCTTAGGGCTGAATAGGCATCAGACATTTTTTCTTTGCTAAATACTTCCTCTGTCACAGTGTAAAAATTTTTATTTTCTAAAGTATACACGCCTAATTGCATAAGTACAATTGCATAATTGCGTGACGACTGTGTTTCAGCTATACCTATCCCGCACCCTGTACCGGTCGAGGTTCCCAAGGAAATTAAAATACCAGTGCCCCAGCCTTATAAGGTGCCAATCGAAATCCCTCACCCATATCCAGTCGAAGTTGTTAAACATGTTGAGATACCTATTGAGAAGCCAGAGCCTGTTATTATCGAGAAGCATGTAAGTATAAGTCCCAAATTCTAATACCCTTTATTATATCATATTCTCACATCTACTTTCTCATACGTACTTTACTTATGCTTTTTAACTTATAATCAGTGCAGAAGTAGAATAAACATTTTTTATCTATACACACACACACTCTCTCTCTCTCTCTCTCTCTCTCTCTATTCTAATGTATGTATTAGAAAACCCTACGTTTATTGTGATACGACAAATCCCAAATTTGTGGTATCACAAAGCACGTATAGTATGTTAATATATAACATTTCTTTTTATAGGTTCCTTATGTTGTGGAGAAGCCATATCCCGTCTACGTGGAAAAGAAATTCCCCGTTCCAGTGGCGAAACCATATGCCGTTCATGTCCCAATCTACAAACACGTGGTCCATTATACGTCCAAGGGTAAAGGGTGGCATTAAAATTTGCAGATATTAAGTATTCCCTTATAATCGCGTTCCATTATCGAGGAATCCGTAATACAGAAAAATTCCTCTTGATTTAAGTCGGTCCGACGATTATATTAACGCGACTTTTTTATGGTATCTTGAGAATTTGTTTTACTTCAAGTTATTTTAATTATGTATGGATCTCTTAAAATTTATATTTTGTTGAGTGAAATGGGAACGAAATATTAATGCGTACGCTGTACAATCTATTGCTGCCAGGTTTTAATCTGGCAAACCGTCCTATAGATAATTTTGTTACACGTTTTTTATGTTGTTAAGTTTTTATCACTATGAAATACATATTAATTTTTTAATACTTGTTAATAAACGTTGTTATAACATCAACTGTTTTGTCACTCGTTAATTCACACATCAATTTTGGATTAAACATTAAGCGGAACGAATTCATTAAATTTATTACTTCACGCACATGAATTCTATTTTCCACAATGCATTTACAAGCTAAGTTAATTATTTCATTTTAGGTATCGAATTTATAATTCATTTCTAAAGTACAACTTCTTTTTAAATAAGTTTTATTATTTTTGCATTATTGCTTTGTTATTATTTATTACTTTCATCATATTTGCTTTCTTACACGGTATACAATAAATCTTTTCTGCACAAGAGGCCGAACAATATGTAATCTACTGTTTCGTTTCCTCGTCGACTGCTTGATTAGGATCACCTAGAAAAAAGAACCGGCTACAGCAACCGAGAGGGAGGCTCGATTCGCGCGGTCTCGATTCGCCGTAATGAGCATAGTGCGCGCGTTCTTACATCGACGTGCGAAACCACTTTTACTTGGGATGTACTTTCACTGTTCCGCTCGGCGATAGCATCGTGCACGATTCAAATCTTCAGGTCGGGATCCCACTCCCTCTTGCAGTCGTGCTACCACACCCTCGGCGTTGGTGCCTTTCATAAATCCTTACTGCTGCAGGCATCGATCATCCGCGTCGATCTAACGCAGCCACGCTGTGACGTCTTTAACCATTGACCACTTGCGTCGTTGTCTTTTGCAATTTGTGATCCATTGCAAAAATATCAAACATTCTTCTTTCTTTCTTATTTACAAAAGTACTTTGTTATTAAACGTATAAGAGAGAGTTTGTGTACAATGCTTTAAGAAATTTCCAGCTGTCGTTACTATAATAACACACGAAGTTAAAGAGAAACATGGTTTATGTGTCTAGTTTTTTAATTAGCTCTCGATTAGCTTGTTCTTGTTATACGAGATAATTTTACTAGATCAAAATTGAGTTAAATTTTATTATAAGAAGAAAATTAAATATGAAGAAATTAAAAATGATCAAATAAATTGAAATGAAGTAATACAGTTAGGAAAATAAGATGTACTCTCACTGTATTCTGTTGGTTGCGTGAACGTCGGCATTTCGGCGAATTGCAACCATGCAATGTTTATTCACAGATTGTTGAACAAGTAAACTAGACCATGACATTACCACATTTACGTTGATCTTTGTCTCACGTTGATGCACGCAACTTGGCTGCGAGCATGAAAGAACTGCGCGTGCAACAGCACCGGAGAGGCTCTCTCCTTAAATCTGAGAATCACTTTATCACCTGATTCATCACGGGAAGAATAACCCATTAAAAGCGGTGGAAGCGATGGTAAAAATGATTAAGTGTGCACATTGTCATTATATAAAGTGCGCTTATATTTGCCCCCTTTTATCTTCTTAGCAGTAAGAACTGAAAATAGCGTAACGACTCACAATATATCTTCACTGCTAAAGTCATTAGCCCTGACTTTAGTTTATGATGATTCCCGGTTTAGAAGCTGTAATAGCCAGTGAACAGATGGAAAGTTTTATACGCAATGATCTCCAAACTTTTTTGTCAATTTCAAATAATAATTTCAGTCACTCTCTCTTTATCGTATCTTTAAGTTTCGTGCTTTAGCTTCAGCCATTCAAAATACTCTAAACAAAATATAAATAATCTCGAACTTTACTGTAGAAATTTTTCAAATATTATATAATGTTTTAAATAAACTTACACACACATACACACACAAAGATAAATAATAACAACTTTAATCAAAGACTAACTACTGTATTTTATAATATTTTTTATATAAAAAAAGTTGAAATTATAACATGTGCTCCGTGCGAATGATGTGTGTAAATTCTCCTAATATATTAATTACACTCACTGTTACCCAACTAATTAATCCAGCGGACTATATGTTGTGTATGCGAAATCTTTATCTTACCTCAGAACTCGGCATAATATAAAAATTATTTTCTATATATTTATTTACGATAAATGAAGAACAAACAAATTAGAGTTAAGTAACGCTTCTAAAATATTGTACGTTACCGAAAATTATGTAACACTGTTAAACATTAGCATAAAAAGATCGATTTCAACTTAATCGAAAAAAAGGATTTGTAATTAAAAATCTACGCGTGAATTTGACTCACCTCACATGTACACACATTTTATTGTACAATCTTATTTATATTGATACGAAAAATTACATTCATGCATTGATTAATGCGATAACTTTCAAAGACTTCCGTTCATTAAATATGATTTCGCTATAATTACCGCTATAAAATATATTCAAAATTAGAGGCAACAGTGTTAATTAGAAAGTGTTACTTTGTCGTATCTTTATATTCTGCGGTAGGTGCTACTGTCACGACACGTTCTTATTATTTATGCGCGTATAATAGTCTTGAGATCATTAATACGTGGACGGATAGCTTGTTACCTATCCAGAAATCCTGGGTATGAGTATACCGCAAATTACCCTAACGCCGTGTTTTGGTAAGGCGCATTCCAAAGTTGGTGAACGTCGGGAAGATCGAGGTCGAGATCATACTCTCGGCGTCTATCGTTATATCCCGTGCAGACAGACGCAGCCGACATTTGCACGTGCAAACGTGCACCTGAATACAACGAATAGCGAGACGTAATGAGGAGAAGGGAGAAAGTAGTGTATATAAAGAGGTGGCCGTGACTTTGAAAGCATCGTAGAGTCTGTTGCGCGTTCTACGGACAGGCATCGCAGAATCGATTCCCGACGGTGTTTTCGTGATTTCGCAAATCATGAAGCTTTTCGTGAGTACTCCTTCCGTTATTAGGTCGAAAATTATACTGTGCATTTGACAGCTTTAACCGTTATCTATCGTTGCATTACGTTCCCAGAGGAACGATTATTTTTTTTACTCACAAAATTTAATTACTTATTACTGTAGTTTATTAGCAGACGATATTAGTTGATAATTTTATGCAATTATATACTTTGATTGTTATTTAGTTGATTTATTAAAATTATATTTTAAATAAATCTTTTTCTAACTAGACGTATTCTTTTGTGCATATATTTCTTCTAAATTATACCACCTATTTCTTGAAAATTGTAACAACAAAATTTTAATTTTAACTTGGTCCTCGTAAACGTTGGGCGAAAGTAATGTTTTGTAAGGAAACGTATAAAAATAAATTTCGCTTTCCACGCGAAGGGCAATTAAGTCGATGAACGAGGCAAGGTTGCAATTTCTTACGAAATTATTGCACTCCGCGTGACACCATTCCGAATATGGTTCGCTAAGACGATTAGAAAAACGAGTGATCTGCGCGTTCAGCTAGATATAGCTATCTCGTGAAACTGTCCAGAAGAAGAGATTACTATCGCGACTAGAAAGTTACGAATTGCCATCTCGGCGACATTTTACTTTGGTGCTTGGTGACTTTAATGACTCACTTCCATTTGTAGGTGCTCGCCACAATGGTGGCCGCAGTGTGGGCTTCTTACGAGGAGGAGCACGGTAGTAGCACCTATCACGAGACGTCTAAGCCAGTGGAGATACCGATCTACAAGAAATACGCGATACCAATCCCGCACCCGGTCGCCGTCCCAGTTCCACAGCAAATTAAGATTCCCATACCTCAGCCCTATGAAGTCCAAGTCGCAGTTCCACATCCGGTGCCCGTGGAAGTTATTAAACACGTTGAGATACCTATAGAGAAGCCGGAACCATATGTTGTAGAAAAAAAGGTTTGTATTAAAAAATATTTTTCTTAAAAGTTAATAATTGCATACGAAAGTTGTAATAAACGAAGAAAAACATTAAGATACAGACGCAGAGTTCGTGTATTTAATATGATGTGATTTTTACTTTGTGTGATATTATAAAATATATTACTGTCTTCTCGCACGAACAAGATAATTATAGAACATGTTAGATTAAATTCGAATTGTATTCTTACAAGTCGGGACACTGAGCACACATCTTAATAAAATATTAAAAGAGATCGGTTAACACAAAATGTTTTATGCTTTGACAGTATCGTTAAACTTTGTAAATGTCTTTAAATGTATTGCGTTGTAGATACCATACGTCGTTGAGAGGCCGTATCCAGTGACAGTGGAGAAGCACTTTCCAGTGCCAATACCTAAACCGTATCCAGTTCACGTGCCTGTGTACAAGCACGTTTTCCACCATAAGAGTTCAGGACACGGCTGGAAAAAGCACTGATTCATAAGTTTGGACGATTCTCTTCAGTAGCCTTATGCCAAAAATAGCGACAAGCGTTACACGAACAACATTAGGTCGTAAGCGTTGTGATGTTTGTATATAGTTTATTAATATAAATCTAACATTTATATTTGTTATGTTTAAATAAACTCTTTCTTCTTATACGCGCATGGACTTATCACTCTTTAAATGCCAATTGATAGAGAATTATAAAATAATTAATTGCATCGTAGATATTTAATTTGAACCATTATTAAACTATTTATATTATTTGGTAAAATAATTGAATTTTGTTTTTTAAATAATGTAATAAACGAAGTAGTTACTTAAAAAAGTAATATTATATATACATAGCAGAAATGTATATAATAAAATTATAAAAATACACATTGCATAAATTATTTGGATAAATACGATATGTACACGCGTATAATAGTACCTTTTTTATCAAGTCTTCCTTGTGCATTTTTCAAAAAATTCATAATCTCCGAGATTTTAACGCTCCCGGCAACGTGGGGTTGCATGTAATAAATACTTCAGGCGCGCGTGATTTTTTGCCAAAACGCGAAATGCATCCGTAATTATTATAAATTATATACGTCACAGTTTCCCCACGGGCGGCACTCCGGGCGATATTTCGCGATACCGTGTCCGGGTTGTGTGGCAGATTGGCGTGTCCACCGCGTGGATAAACGACGACGAATAATGTCAACAACGCAATGTGTCGCCATGCCCGAGGTGGTCACTCACTCACGTCGTCACAGAATTTATTCAGGAAATACCGGGGCGCGTACGATTGCATCATGTATCTGGCGACCGCTTTTTACGCCGCTTAAGGGAATCACATACGCCTTCAACAAGAAACTTGCCCTCTCTAAGTGGAGCAAAAGTTTATAAAACCGAGGACTGCGAGCGATGCGTTTCTAGTTTGGTCCAGAACTCCTGATCTATTGGTCGCAAATCAACAGGAGGAAACAGGAGGGAAATCATGTTCAGGCTACTGGTAAATATGTCGAGCATTGCCCTAAAAGTGGATGTAAAATTGCTCAAGCCCTTTTTATTTTATGTGTTTCAAAGTTGACGATAAATTACAAAATTAGATTTCGAGCTTTCAGGTCAACTCAATCTCTGTAGATGGCATTTAATATTAATTTTTAAGAAAACCATTTATAGTCAGCAAATATATAACATAATACTCGCAAGTGTGATTCTTCAAAATTAAAATAAAAGACGGTTCTCAAACACATTTAAAAGACGTTAAATATTTTACGCAATCCTTACCTGGGTTTGTATAATTAAGCTTACAGCAAGTATTTTTCCATGTCATTTGTAATAATCTGGCACTGAATAATCGATCCTGGGTTCCAATTCCTAGATACCGTGCCTGTTATGGCTGTCAACGGTGCGCTCGGAGACCGGGATGCACACGGGCATGCCGGTCGAGCCGCTGATGGATAAAATGTCAGACGCCTCGATGCTGAAGGCTAAGAGAGAGTCCTACCACCAACCTTGTGAACCGCTCTATCCGCACGATTCCGACGCTTACCCGCCGCCGTCGGTCTACGTTAAACCCCTGATCCAACCAACCTACTTGAAAAAGGAGCTAGGTTTAGCGCAACCCTTAGCTCACTTGCAGTACGTTCAACAGCCGCACGCCTACCCCGCTGTGGTGCCGAAACCGACGATCACGTACGTGAAACCGGTGACGCCCGCGGTCAACTATCACGGGGTGCAGCATCAGTCGTTGCAGTACATCAAACCCGTGATGCCCATCTACCAGAATCCCATGCTGTCCTACGCGCCGATCTACCAGAAGCCGCTGCACTACGCGCCCATGTACCAGAGCCCCATTTACCACGACGCGATGCCCAAGATCTTCCTCAAGAAGTACGAGGAACCTGTCTCCCCGATACTCTATCAGAAACCGCTGGTTCACGCGCCTCCCGTTCACTATGCGACACCGAAAGTGGTGCACGTGCAGGCGCCACAGGTATCCTACGTGAAACCTGTGGTCCACGCACCTCCATCTGTGTACGCCCCGCCGCCGGCTCACAATTCCATTATAGTCAAGCCACATTGTCTGTAAATCGCTTGATCGCGCGCGACGTTGATATATCGAGCTCCGGAGAATGATAGAATCTCTAAATGCGTTAAAGATTAAACGATCAACTGGCGATTTCTATGTCTTTCACGGCGGCTTTGATCAATCTGCATTTTGTAAGCTGAAAATGTAAGGCGAAAAATATGAAGAATGAAGTGCAATGGAAAATTGTAAATTACAAGCATTGTATGTACCGGAACGCATTATGTTTGTACATCGATACAAATCGTGGAATGCTACGAGTTATCAATAAAGAAGAAAGTGAATTGTCAAAACTGGCAAATTTGATATGTGTAATAGAATTATTCTTCTTTCTTTATTTCCTTTTATTAATTCTTTCTAAATATTACGATTCGTTTTTCTTGACGCTCCAGTGTAAAACAGACTTTTAGTAATAAGAACAAAATTTACACTGTGGGTAAATCATAATTTATAATTTAAAGTATAAAAATAATTGCATATTTAATTAACATTAACCGATAATATTAATATAAAACCTATTCGTATACAAAAATTTAAAGAATTATTATAAATTTTAAAGAAAATCGCATAACGCAAGTGATTATAATTTTTTTCTTTCTATTACGTAGGAAAGATGTAATTATAATCTTCCAATAAAAAATAATAAATTCATCATGAAATTATTTACAAAGATGTTTATGTGCGCTTTTGCGGTACCTTTTTGTCTGCGAACATGCAAAAAGTTTTGATATCTTGCCAAAACTACTTCGTGCTCTAATTAACTTCAGCATGAATTATTACATAATAAACTCACTCGCTAAATGAAAAACTGGGCAAAGTAGGACATATCAATAAATTTTTATTGAAGTAAATACTTCAATTGTGTATTTTTTATTATATTACAGCTAAAAAGTATTGAAATTAGAAACATTCTTTAAAATATCAAAAAAAGCGGATATTTTACTGCTTTAATCAACATTTTAAAATCTCAAGGTTCACACGAATAATTGTTTCGCTTCTTAACACTACGCAATCTTCATTAATCTTCACTAAAGAGATAGATATCGTGTTTCGAAGCATAAATCTTTATTCTGCGTATCCTGATACGCTCTTGATAAGATTTAAGTAAAGATTATAAACGCTGAACGAGACCTTAGTACCGAAACTTTCCAACCGTGAAATATCGCTACTCTTTCAAACTTTCATCTAGGGAACCAATTATGCACAGAAATTTCATAAGCTCACAATTACGTTACGAAGTTACGGACTTCTTCCGCTTAGACTAAGATTGCGTCGAAATTTTAATTCTTCAAATCACGAAATCCCGCCATCACGAAACTTTTTCGTTTGTTCTCAGGAATTGAATCGCATCATTAAATATTACAAACCATAATTATACAGCTTAAGTCGTAGTTATAAAACACAAATATACAATTACATGTAATTTCATCAATTTCAGTTAACAAGATTTCGTTATTAGTGGATGGTTCAAAGGTCACTGTAAAAATTTGCACGAAAGAAGAAACGGAACTGCTTGCACGGCAAGTACGGATCGCCGGAGGACTTTTCTTCTCGTTTTGTCACGCCAGAAATCGATTGCATAAAATCGAGACCTACTGGGGCTGGAATTAACAACGGGTCGGCGAGCTTTCCACCTATATTCCCGGGGATTTCGAAGAATCGCGCAATTTCATCACTCACTTACGTGCAACACCGCTCGGCCGGGGTTGCATAACTCGGCAATGAAACTCGAACAAACTATCTCGACGTTTTGAAATGGCCTACACATGCACATTTGCGGGCGTAACCGGCCGGTTTTCTCATACCCACGTACAAGCGCTACGTCGCGTCCACGTGAATCCACGCCATGAAGAACGAATTGTAAACATCCGCCCATGGTACATAATATTCACATAAAACTTGCGCAATGTTACGCGGCCACCGTTGTATAAAATAAGCGTCCATGGGAAGATGCTTTCAGTAGAGCCGACAGAAGCCGAGAAGTGAATTCATTATGGTTAACCATGTAAGTGAACGCTGAAGAGCTTGTTAAAGAAAACAGTGGGAACGCAATTGTATAAAGAAAAGACTTCATTTTATAATGTCTCTTCATTCGTAGTTTTATTGTGTGCATAAAGGCTGCATATAATTTACCTCAATCCTTCGTACTGCGCGGAAGTTGTCGCGATGAATAATCGGGAAAGGCGACCGATTGAATCTAAAATGATCTAATATTTTTCACGTCAATTTATTTGCAAATTATTGTTTAAAATAGTGCGTTAGTACTCGGCGTTAGCTCGCCTCGAAAGGTCGTGCGAATTGAGACACGTTAATGAAGCTAATACAAAAAGTTTAAGCAACCTACATCTTTTTCCTCACAGTGTATTTTAAATTTGCTGTGTTCCAGTTGTTTCTCTCTCTATTGGTAGTCGCCGTTTGCGAGGCGGGGATAATAACGAATGGGGACCACTCGCATCACGCGGTTTACCACGGCCATGGCGCTACCAGTTATCAAAATGTGCAAGTTGACAATCACGATACTATAGTGGTGCCTGCGAATTACGGAGATCCTGCAGAGATACATGACACTTTGGAGCACCATCACGAGCCAATCATTCCAATCGTTGAGTCTCACAATGATATAGATCACATCGTGTCTCATTCCGGTAAGTCAAAACGTGAATTTGCAATAAATCGATCATACTCGTAAAAAAGCTATATTTTACACAAATGTAATTTTCCTAACGAGTTAACAATGCTTGAGAAAGAAGATATACAGCACTAATAATTTGAGTTAATGAAGATAGAAACATTATAATTTAATATCGTTCAGAAGTAGCATAATTTCTCAGATATTGGTTACTTTTTTCTTACCTGTAATATTGTAAATCATAAAATTAAGGCTCCGATAAAATATAATAAGTTTAGTCTTCACAATTAATCAATGTGTTTGTATAAAAGAAGACTGATTAGGGCAATGTGAGCCAGTACCAGATTTTCGGTAAATGTCATATATTAAAAGGATAACTTATTTAACAAAATTTACATGTAATACAATGATATATAATAAATAGGTACGTTTCGGTCACTATATGTGACCCTCTACAGCCAATGTGTTGTTCTATAAAATAAACTTCGGTTAAAATAATTGTCTGACGCGAATCGATGAGTCACTTAGAAAATAATGTGTCGTTGAACAGTCCTCGGGAATTGTATATATTGTCCGTAAAAGTAATACCTTATTTTAGATGTAAGTCGGAAAACTATTTCTTCAACTTCTCCTATTTCGCAAAACATGTGGGCGATGCGACACTTAGCATGGTATCAGAGCGGCAAAATCATGATATGTGACATAGAAGAGTCGGTCTTTTATATGTTATACGAAGTGTCTCGTGTTATAGTCTGTATTCTATCTGTATTCTTTTTCTAAGTGACTCATCGATTCGCGTCAGACAATTATTTTAACCAAAGTTTATTTTATAGAACAACACATTGGCTGAAGAGGATCACATATAGTGACCGAAACGTACCTATTTATTATACAGGGTGAGTCTTTCCATATCCGACAAAATTTTTGAGAAGGTAGAACGGATCGAGATGAACGGAAAAGTCCTGTACCATTTTGCAATTTTCGTAATAGTTAACGAGTAACTAATTATTAAAAATCGTTGTCTTAGGCCGGCCTACCGCCCAATTCGAGCGCGTGGCAAGATGTGACCGCCTAGCGATCGATATTGCTATGCGCACATCTCGCCACGCGCTCGAAT